GAATTTTATTGTTTTATATTTTTATTATTTTATTGTTTCCATTCTACGTGACTTTACCGAAAGAACCAAGAATATAAGGTGACAACAGTTGGTGCGATTATTCGCAAATGGAAGAAACACAAAATAACTGTCAATCTCACTCAACCTGGGGCTCCATGCAAGATCTCACCTCGTGGAGTTGCAATGATCACGAGAACGGTGAGGAATCAGCCCAGAACTACACGGGAGGATCTTGTCAATGATCTCAAGGCAGCTGGGACCATAGTCACCAAGAAAACAATTGGTAACACACTACGCCGTGAAGGACTGAAATCCTGCAGCGCCCGCAAGGTCCCCCTGCTCAAGAAAGCACATATACATGCCCGTCTGAAGTTTGCCAATGAACATCTGAATGATTCAGAGGACAACTGGGTGAAAGTGTTGTGGTCAGATGAGACCAAAATGGAGCTCTTTGGCATCAACTCAACTCGCCGTGTTTGGAAGCGGAATGCTGCCTATGACCCCAAGAACACCATCCCCACCGTCAAACATGGAGGTGGAAACATTATGCTTTGGGGGTGTTTTTCTGCATAGGGGACAGGACAACTTCACCGCATCAAAGGGACGATGGACGGGGCCATGTACCGTCAAATCTTGGGTGAGAACCTCCTTCCCTCAGCCAGGGCATTGAAAATGGGTCGTGGATGGTATTCCAGCATGACAATGACCCAAAACACACGGCCAAGGCAACAAAGGAGTGGCTCAAGAATAAGCACATTAAGGTCCTGGAGTGGCCTAGCCAGTCTCTAGACCTTAATCCCATGGCAAATCTGTGGAGGGAGCTGAAGGTTCGAGTTGCCAAATGTCAGCCTCGAAACCTTAATGACTTGGAGAAGATCTGCAAAGAGGAGTGGGACAAAATTCCTCCTGAGATGTGTGCAAACCTGGTGGCCAACTACAAGAAACGTCTGACCTCTGTGATTGCCAACAAGGGTTTTGCCACCAAGTACTAAGTCATGTTTTGCAGAGGGGTCAAATACTTATTTCCCTCATTAAAATGCCAATCAATTCATAACATTTTTGACATGCGTTTTTCAGGATTTTGTTGTTGTTATTCTGTCTCTCACTGTTCAAATAAACCTACCATTAAAATTATAGACTGATCATTTCTTTGTCAGTGGGCAAACGTACAAAATCAGCAGGGGATCAAATACTTTTTTCCCTCACTGTATATATTTATTTTACCAGGTAAGGCCCACTGGGCTATGTAGCTCTTTTTCAGAAGCGACCTGGCCACAATTGATAGCTCAACGAAGTGGCTTATCACGTGGGAATTTATAGCAGCCAAATGCTCTATACGCGCGTTTCTAAATGTGGGGGGGGGGGGGGAAACCGGAGGTCTCGGAGAAAAATCCACGCGACCACGGGCAGAGAGACATGCAAACTCCAAATAAACAGGCGTCAGGGTTGGGATTGAACCCACTTCCTCCTGCATAGCAAGCGAGGGAGTTAACATCAGCGAACCGTCATACGGAATGGTTAAATATTGGCTGGCTTGAACCCCAACACACCGCGTGCTGAAGCAATGCAAACAATTCTCGCGCTTGTTCACGTGCCAACTCTATTTATTTGACTGCGCCAGGTGGAGGAGAAGTGGACGACACACTGATATTTTACTCTAACCCGACAAGTCATGCACAAAATATGACGCTTGCGTCTATCATCGACCACTTCCTAAATGACTTGTGCATTAAAAAACAAAAAATTCTGGTAGTGAGGATGATTTTTCTTTGTAATTGTCGGACGACACAGCGAGACGCGATGCCCTCGGTAGAAAAGTGACCGTTCGGTTTGCTGTGCCCTCATGGACCTTCGCTAGTCGGTGCCAATCACCAAATCACCGGCAATTATTTATCATGACGCTTGTTCTGCCCAGGAAAGGCTTCACTGAGTTCTCAGCTCTCTTTCTTTTTTGTATCTATGTACGTTGAACTTATGAATCGCCGGAGGCCCATAACGCCAACCTGCTGTGTTCATTATCCACCCCGGAGCTCTCTCTGATCGTCGTGTCGCTCCTGCGTGTTTACCCCATCGCACAGCTTGACGCCGTGTGAGGGAACAAACACGCATTCTCACACGCGTTCTGGGACGGTTCAGAAATCCCAAATTATGCCATGAAATTTGCAGAATTGAACCTCATGGCGGTACCCCGGGGTCCCATCGTGCCCCGGCTCTCGCACAATGTCCGTGCTGCAGTCATGTTTAGTCTGTTGATGGTCGGCGATGCTGGGAATCGACGCATCTCGACGAGCTGTACACGATGCACTATTCAAAGTTTAATTTTTGATAACGGATTTTTTTATGCTAATGTTTGGCGTTTCGACATCGCGCGGCAGCACTGATTTCGGATTGATTGGTTACCCCCAGTCGCGGAGTGAAGTACACCCCTGGAAAAAATAGTGTCCCAGAAATAAAATATTTTAATTGCCTCGGGCATTTTGTATTGTTTGGCACCCCGGGGTACCGCTATGAAGATCAATAAACAGATGACGTATCAGCTGAGAGCCGTCGATACGTTATTATTAATAACACCCATAAAGTTACCCGACTCCTGTCTCAAACTACCGCCTCTGAATAACAAAATAATATTACCTTCATGTCTCTAATGGAGTTTGTCTAACCCATAAAAAACGCTTACATTTTAATTACAGACCATTATTCATGAGAGAAATGTCACGCGACCACTTGGGATTTGAACCAAGAACCTTAAAATGAACCGGTGACTCGACGCTCCAAACACAGACATTGAAGCTGAGAGTCGTCCAGCCGAGCAAATACTGCAGTTTTAATCCCAAGGCTCAACACATTGGCCTCGGCGCACACACACACATAAGCCACGTCGTTACACGCGCGGTACAAAGCGCCAGCTCCAGATTCATTTGCTCCGTGACCCACGTGTGTGCGATTTGCCGCAGAAATAGAGTCTTGTCGCTCTCCCATACAAAGCCGTGGGCAATGTGTGTGCAGCTGTTGCGACGTGGACATCGACCGTGTTGTCCGGTAAATTATGAATTTAATTAAAATATCTACAGCACTAGTTCATAATGCACAAAGGTGATTAATAACTTCACGGACAGAAAACAACTTGATCTCAACAGTTTACACGAGGATTAACCTGATGCCACTTCAATTGACTTTGGCAAACATTTGCATTAAATGAAGTCCTCCGTACTCGTGTATGTCAACATTTGGTTAAGATTATGTTTGTATCCTGTTCAGGCTCATGTGTTGGCACGAAGGCCATTCCACAAGTGTTCTGCTAAAATGGACAAAAATCCGCAAACACGTTTTGTCTTTTGTATTAATCAGACCCCGTGCGTTTCCTGTACAGCTCATTTTATATGTTTACTGTGACTTCGATAATCCAATTAAAACGTCTGAAGAAAGAAAAGTAATGTATTCAATAATGCTCCCATGAAGAGGTGATGATTCTTTTTTTAAATTAAGTTTTCGCGGCTATTTAATGAGGGCAAAGTGAAGTGTGCGTTCACTGCTAATGACTACACCAATGTTCCCGGACACTGAACAATGGCGTGTACATAAAAGCAACGTGCTTCCAGTTCAACGTCATGGATTTCATCACTGCCACACAAACACACTTGACAATTAAATACACGCGGACAAACGTCGGGCTGACTTAAAACAAAACATTTGAAACTAACGTGTACAACGCCCAAAACTGAACAACTGCGAGAACAATATATACACAGCACTTTGTGGAAATGCGTTACGGCAATCCCCTCGTCATTTTCTAATGTCGCACGAACCTTTACGTTTTGGTGTAGCGCCCACAAGATGTTCTCTTGTCAACAGAATTACCAAACACGGATCCACTACAACCAGGACGTTGCCAGCCATTGCACAGATCGCACGTGCGAACAGATGGTGCTAGCCATGGTGGGAAAAGTGAAAAACTTCACTCAGCTCAGCGCCGATGCAACGTTTGATTCGGGAATCGGCGGCGGAAATGCAATTCACAAAATGTCAATTTGTATTCAGCGTTGCAGTGCAGGAACAAATCAAGTTGAACGAATTTGATTTGCATCAACGTCCACCACGATTGTCCTACCACGCCCAGCAAATTCCAACTCCGCACGAGAGTCCTCAGCTGATGCGGAGCTGTGTTATCATCAGCCGTTATGATTCGGCACTGTCATCATTATCATCTTGATCGTGTAAAAGCACTTAATATATTAATGTTATAAATAATGGTACTTTTTGCACCTAAAAAGATAACTCAATACAACACGAAGCCATGGCAACCTCCCCTTTATTTCTTCTCTGACTCTCCCCAATCACCAGCTGATAATAACGATATGACATTTATGGCATATCCACCCATCACTTTAGTCGTTCCTATTGCCGTACAAAAACTGAAGGGCCTTTGCTATCGATGCCCCCAGGGTCTGGAATGCTATTGCCAATAAACTGCAACTTGAATCGCTACCAATGAGATCTTCACTCAAAACTGCTCTAGAGGAGTTGTACACCCCTAGCTGCCACTACTATTCATTGGTGTAAAATAAAATAAAATGTTTCGCTCCGGATGATGCTGCAAAGTATTATCTGTATTTTGATTTAGCGTGCTCATCTTAAAGGTGCATTGAAAAATTTGATACTCCGACTGATGCTTCTGTTGTTGTGGAGTAACTAATGCAGCCAGCTATGGCTCTAGGATTTGGTATTACATGTTATTTATGTACTTTATTGAAACATTTCGGTCACAGTCCATGTGATCACTGTTACGTTGCAATTTTGGCTTTATTTTTTGGTGATTTCGAAAAGTTTTTTGGTTTGGACATGTTTGTTTTGTTGTAGTACGGAGTTAGACTGATGGCCTTAATCTAAGTTGTCTTGTGGTTGTTGTTGTTGTTTGACTTGCATTCCACTGGGATTTTATGCACACAGCGTTGGCGTACGGAATATTTTGCTGGTTTTTTTCATGGATTTTCTGTTTGCACAGTCACATAGTCACTTTAAGATGTTTTTCTTGTTCGTGTTTTTGTTTTTATGTTTGTTGTGGTTGCACCCGATTCAAGAGCCGAATAGCTCACAGGGCTATACCAAAATAAATAAACTGAAACTTTCCAACGACCGCTCTGCATACCCAGAAGATTCCAAAGCACCGTGACATCATACGTGCCAGGCCCATGGCTTTTTTTGGCTAATTCACCCTGAAGCGCTCGAATGTCCTCATGAACTCATGAACACTGCGCCATCAGTCGTCTGATGGAAAGTGAATATCCATTCACTTTTCACAGCATCTTGAGATGCCGTTGTATTTCGAATTTTTTATAAACCTAAATTGCATTGCAATACCATTGTATACTGGGAACAAAATCAGTCTGGGTAGGTGGAGATGGTGGACGAGGAGGTTAAAGGTCATCTCCAAGTCCAACCTCTGGCTGTCAGTGCCGATAAGCACCGTCCAACCTCTCCGTATTATTCAGGTTGTCCCACTGCCCACGGAAGTGTACCGCTGCTCAGGGCATCATGGGTAAACGTGTTCGGCAGGGATTTTGCTGGTCGGCAGAGCCGCACAAACGCGAATGGCCTCTGCTAATAGGAATGGTTGCAGTCACCGTCGTGCCCATGTGTATAGGCCGCGAGACCTTGGGTGTGTGCACGCAAAGAGGGGGGGAAGGGAGCATCATTTGTCCGCCCGCACAAAGGAAGCGAACATGCTGTCGTGCGCGAGCAGCGTGCTGGGCGTGTCGTACTCCAGCACGCTGCCGCGCTTCAGCACCATCACCAGGTCCGCCGTCAGGATGGTGTGCACGCGATGCTGCACGCATAGACGCACACAAGAGACAAAGATTCCCCGTTAGCCAATACAAGACCGTTGGGGCAAAGTGCTGTTCGCGAGCGCCAACGGAGGCCATCGTGGCGTCCGAGGGGGTGATGTAGCCAGCAGCGAAGTTGATGTTTACACCCCCGCAACAGGAACATATTTCAGGCTGAGTTGATTTAGGGAGGCCCTAGACCGGTTCAGATTTCACTCAACACCGACGTTAGACATGGCTTGGAATTTAACCCATGTCATGGGGTTCATAGCACAGGGCTCTAATGACTACAAAGACAAACATTTCCCCCATAGCCATTAACAGATTGTTGGGGCAAGTGCTGTTAGTGAGCAACCATGAAGGCTGACACGGCACATGAAGTGTCTCTTCTTTGCCAACATCACGCCCGGCTGCTTTGTCTCTCCTCCAGTACCAAGTTCTCATTACAGGCTGAGTTGGCCTAGGGGGGGTCCAGGACCGGTAAAAATATTCATAACTATTATTGATCATGAGCAGGAATCGAACTGAGGTTGCAAAATTCACAGTGAAGTGTGCTAACTACTACGCAACGCAGCACAAAAAGACACACACAAGCACATGGAAGCACACTTATGCTGGGGCATGTACACTCATACTCGCATGTCAATATACATTCAATGCTTGCATTTGCATGTAGAGTACATTGACATAGGAGTACACGTTCACACGTGGCACATACACACGTGGCTAGACATGAGCATAATCAATCTTCCGTGTGAGTGTATATATGCGCATGTGCACAAGCATGCACATTCATTAAGAGCATAAGAGACAAATATGGCTTTAAAAGCATTAACAGACTGTTGGGGCAAGTACTGTCAGCGAGCACCTATGAAGGCCGGCACGGCACACAAAGGGATGGGTGGCCAACACCACGCCCGGCCACCTTTGTCTCCCCAGTGGTGATGTTTACATACCACACGAGGTACTCATTTGCTGAGTCGACCTGGGGGAGATCCAGGGCAGGTTCAGATAAACATCACTGATATTGGCCGTGAGCGGGAATCAAATTCGATTTGTCGGGTTCAGCACGCAGCGTGCTAACCGCTGCACTACCGCTCCCCACATGCACCTCTATACATGACTATCCTTTGCGATCAACATAATTTTATAATGACTACATCATGAAAGTTTTTTATGCAGGAGCACGGGAGAAGATCTTGACTTAAAGCTTTCGTAACTGCAGGAATTCATATTATTTGGGTCTTTCGGTAAAGTCACGTGAATAGGTTCAAAGAAAATAACAAAAAACTACGACGTTCCGATCGCAACACAAGCGGTCGTCATCAGGAAAAGGGGGTTAGCTTCTAAAGGCAAACTGTTTATAAAGGTTTGAAATGGGCGTAGCCCAAATGTCAGCAGCATGGGTGGGGCAGCTTATGTTAATGTAAGTGATGGGCACCGACCGCGATTGGCGGTGGGTTCCACCAATTAAAGGGCTGCCAGGTAAAAATTAGCATGTTAGAGTAAGATCGGTGAGCGCCCCCCTAGGGCGAGCGTGCTGAGGTGGCTATGTTAATGTGAGAGATTAGTATGTTGATGTGAGATCGGTGAGCGGCCTCCACGACGAGGTACGGCGTGTGAATGTGGCTGTGTTGGTGTGAGAAATTTAACCTGTTAATGTAAAATCGGAGAGCTGAAAATAAGAACTAACATCGGAAGGTGGCAGGATGGGAACATCACAGCCAGTTATGACTTAAACTGGTTGATAACGTCCTTCCAATGACTGCTAAGTTTGTACCCATCTTCTCGGTTGTGTTTGTGTCTGTATATATGGATGGCTTCATAAACAAATCTTTGTTGATAGCCAGTGGGTTTGCAAAGTACCTTCGTCTTAGAGAAATCAATATCGTGTGAGCCCACTGCATTAAAACAATAACCAGCCACGGCCAAGGTATTGGTCCTACCGTGTTTCAGATCTGCCTTGTGTTCACAAACACGGTCCGAGACATGTCGCTTCGTTTCCCCAATGTAACTACTGACGCAGATACAGCTAAGTTTGTAGACGCCGGGATCACATCCTTCTGAGATGGGTTCAGATCACGAATTTTCTGTACTGTGTTAAATCGGACCTGGATATTGTGTTTGCTCATGATTTTGGAAATCTTTTTGGTGACCCCTGCTATGTATGGCAAGGTGATGGTTTTGATTGGGTCCTCAGATGGTTCTTTCCCAATGGATGCGGTGACAGCTTTACGGATTGTGTAGTCTGAATATCCATTCATTATGAGAGCTTGATGTACGTGTTCGAGTTCACTGGCTAGGTGATAATAATCGGAAATACATCGAGCCCTATGGTGTAGAGTTTTGACGAGGGAATTCTTCTGGATGGATGGTAGTCGGGAGTCAGGTTTTAGGTAGGCATCTGTATGGGTGGCTTTCTTGTAGACAGACAGAGTATCCCATTGAGCCATCTGGAAGCTGCCATCCATTTCCACCTCCATGATTAATGTGATAGCTGGGTGTATGGAATAAATGTGGTTGAGGAATTGGTTCAGAGCTGGTCGGCCATGTGGCCAGATGACGAACATGTCATCTACTTACCTCTTCCACAAGGATGGACGTAGAGTGGATGCCTGGATGGCATCTGTCTAGAATTTTTCCATGAAAACATTGGCTACAACTGGAGATAAGGGAGAACCCATTGGGGTACCTTCAACTTGTTTGTAGAATGTTCCATTCCAGGTGAAGTAAGTGTTGGTGAGGCAGTATCTCCCACCAACAGCCTCGAAAACCAACAATATCATCACCGATTCGACATCTTTAACCGAACCAACCAAGCGGTTTTCTTAAAATCCCCTGCTGCTAGACCACCCAGATTGTATGGCTTACCAAAAATCTATAGTAAGGTACACCCCTTCGTCCTTTCGTCTCCACCATTGACTCACTCACCTACAAACTGGCCAGATTTCTGTCTGAGACCTTACAACCATTCACTGGTAAGACTGCCTCAGCTGTACTTAACTCAGCTCACTTGGAATCGTTAATTAAGGACATCTCACTATCTCCAGGTGATTTGCTCGTTAGTTTCGATGTAGTCTCTTTGTTTACCAAAGTTCCTGTGCCTAACACCATTGCAATCATTGAAGATTTGGTCCAACAAGGACTGAATGCTGATGTACCGGCCCTGGTGAGACACTGCCTCACCAATACTTACTTCATCTGGAATGTAACATTCTACAAACAACTTCTTTGGTTCATTCGGTAAAGTCACGTAGAATGAGAATAAAATAATAAATTGATAAAATAAAATAACACGATAAAATTCTCACGACATTTTGGCCACAACACAAGCGGCCTTCATCAGGTGAAGGGACGAGACTGTCTGGAGGACAGCGCTGTCTGGAGGAGGACAGCGCTGTCCTCAGACAGTGCTCGTCCCTTCACCTGATGAAGGCCGCTTGTGTTGTGGCCAAAATGTCGTGAGAATTTAATTGTCTTATTTTGTTTTATTATTTTATTCTCATTTTACGTGACTTTACCAAAAGAACCAAAGAAGATGAATCCTTGCAGTCACGAAAGCTTTAAATCGAAATTCTACAAACAACTTGAAGGTACATATTCTATGGTTCTTTCGGTAAAGTCACGTAGATATAAAAAAGTTACAATTTATGTTAAAGGTACCCCATTGGGTTCTCCCTTATCTCCAGTTGTAGCCAATGTTTACATGGAAAATTTTGAGACAGATGCCATCCAGGCATCCACTCTACATCCATCCTTGTGGAAGAGGTAAGTAGATGACATGTTCGTCATCTGGCCACATGGCTGACCAGCTCTGAACCAATTCGTCAACCACATAAATTCCATACACCCAGCCATCAAATTCACCATGGAAGTGGAAAAGGATGGCAAGCTACCATTCTTGGATGTTTAATCGAAAGAGACCAGATGGCTCAATGGGACACTGTCTACAGGAAAGCCACTCATACACATTCTACCTATAACCTGACTCGCACCACCATCCATCCCAGAAAAAATTCCCTCATCAACTCTACACCATAGAGTTCGATGTATTTCCGACCATCATCACCTAGCCAGTGAACTAGAACACGTACACCAAGCTCTCAAGATGAATGGATATTCAGACTACACAATTCGTAAAGCTATCACCCCAACCGTTGGGAAAGAACCATCTGAGGACCCAATCAAAATCATCACCTTGCCATCCATAGAAGGGGTCACCAAAAATATTTCAGCAGTAGTTACATTGGGGAAACGAAGCGACACGTCTCGACCATGTTCGTGAACACAAGGCAGATCTGAAACACGGTAGGACCAATACCTCGGCCATGGCTGATCATTGTTTTAATACGGTGGGCTCACACGATATAAATTTCTCTAAGACGAAGGTACTTTGCAAACCCCACTGGCTATCAACAAAGATTCGTTTATGAAGCCATCCATATATACAGACACAAACACAACCGAGAAGATGGATACAAACTTAGCAATCATTGGAAGGACGTTATCAACCAGTTTAAGTCATAACTGGCTGTGATGTTCTCATCCTGCCACCTTCCGATGTTAGGTGTTATTTTCGGCTCTCCGATTTTACATTAACAGGTAAAAATTCTCAAACCAACACAGCCACTTTCGCGCGCCGTACCTCGACGTAGCGGTGGTTCTACGATCTTCCATTAACACGTTAATCTCTCACATTAACATAGCCACCTCAGCACACTCGTCGTGGAAGCCGCTCACTGATCATACATTAACATGCTAATTTTTACCTGGCAGCCCTTTAATTGGTGGAAACCACCGCCAATCGCTGTCACTGCCCATCACTCACATTAACATAAGCTGCCCCACCCATACTGCTGACATTTGGGCTATGCCCATTTTAAACCTTTATAAACAGTTTGGCTTTAGAAGCTAACCCCCTTTTCCTGATGATCGAAATGTCGTAGTTTTTGTTATTTTCTTTGAACCTATCTACGTGACTTTACCAAAAGACCCAAAGAATACAGGAGATGATATTCAAATATTGCCACATGCTTCTCTGAAACAGACCACTGTTTCATACTAACATCTCCTTACAAACCACTTCAGATGTTGTTATTACTCAAGCCTTCATGTAGTTGTGACTGGGAGACATTAATTTGTGCTCAGTAATACTCACAGCGATGATGACTACTGTCCTGTTGGCAAATGCTGTCATCACCACCTTCTGGAGAATGCTCTCCTGAATAAGAACAAAAGAAGCAAAGTAAAAATGCACACAGTCTCTCTAAAGATCATTCGACCTCTTCTGCTCGTGTTCTACCACCGCAGTCGCAGGTTTATCCAGTATCGAGCACGTGACAATGTGGGCAGCAGTGGATAGACTCTGGTACATGATAACGGTGATGATGTGGCCCAGTCTGTAGCCCTGGCGAGGTTCCTCTTGGTACACAGTTCCTCCAAGGGCTGACAGACTGAGTGACACTGCGTGGTCCGTGTCTCAGTCACGTGTCACGTGTGCCAGTGTTGCTCGAGTAGCCCCATTTTCCGCATGTTGCCTGTTAAGATGCCCACTTCCGATCGAAGGCGAATTAAACAGCGACAATGTCTTATTTCGCGCCCAAGAGCCCTTCAACATTTTACAGACGTTGTTGTCAGTGCCGGCCCTGAAAAGGGCCCTTCTGAGTGGTGACACTGATGACTCCAGTGGTCTGCAAGGCATTAACCATCGTTGGTGGTGGTCGGTTTTCAGCAGGATTGTTCTGCTGCACCGTGATGAAGGACACATGCAACAGAGTGGCACCACTGGCTTTGTCGAATAAACCTTCCCCATCAGAAATCCTCATTTCAATTTGATGTGGCGGGGGGCGTTGGTACTGATTTGTGTGAAACTGAAAGTGTGAATGTGAGGGTGTGTGTGCAGGTGCGAAGGCATGAGTGTGTGAGGGTGTGAAGGTGAATGTGTGCATGTATGTGTGTGGGGGTGTAATGGGTGCGAGGGGCTGGCAACCCCTCCACCTTCAATTAATTACCACTAAACCATGACTGAAAATTTGTATTAATAAGCTTGTGCCAGAGGCGTCATTGACGTCTCCTGGCCAAACCCCATTTGGCGGAGCAAGGAGACTAAATCCTTACCCTCGGGGCACCTCCAGAAACAACAAAAAACCACTACATGTGGCCACGTGGAATGTTCGAACGCTCACTGCAGAGGAGAGGCTGCCACTCCTCTGTCGGGAGCTGGACCGGTACCACCTAGATCTCTGTGGTATTCAGGAGGTCCGATGGACCGGCTCTGGCTCCTGCCACCATGAGGGGTGGACAGTCCTCTACTTGGGGCAGCAGACTGCCAAACAACAGGGAGTGGCTCTTCTTCTGCACAAAAGAATGAAGGGGGTGTGGGAGCATGGCGGTGAGTTGTGGGAAGCTGTAAGCCCCAGGTTACTTTGGGCTCACCTTCCCATCAACCAGAGGTGAGGAGTGGTGGTCGTGGTTACTTATGCCCCCACTGAAGACGAACATCCGTAGAGGGATGCAGATAAGGCCGATGAGTAAAATGCCTTCTATGACCTCCTGTCACAGGTGCTAACTAAAGTGGCCCCTCGGGATAGAGTCATCTTGTTGGGTGACTTCAATGCCCGAGTTGGTCATGATGCTGCCACCTGGTCTGGAGTGATTGTAAGGCATTAGCCAGATCAGCTCAATAACAATGGCAGGAGGCTGCTAGATTTTTGTGCAGCCCATGGACTTGTAATTACCAACACGCTGTTCCGGCATCAGCAGATCAACACAACATCATGGATGCATGCCGGGTCCAAGCAAGAACATCTGCTGGACTACATAGTGACGAAACAACGGATGCGGACCCATATCCTTGACACCAGGACCTACCTTGGAGCTGATCTGCCCACTGACCATCGACTTGTCATCTGTAAGATATGCCTGCCATTTTTACACTCCAGTGGTGGGTGTACACCCAGGACCCCATTCAAACCCTTAGTGGCTGATGAAAGTTGCAAGCGATAATTTCATCATCGCTTGCGGCTGGGGTTGGCATCATCCCCCACTCCTCCTGATGTCGGGGGGAAATGGGCGAGGTTTAGGACTGCGGCTCATGCAGCTGCAATGGCTGCTTTGGGTACACGGTCCAGACCTCTCCAGAGACCCTGGCTGACAGAGGAGGTGTTTAAGCTGGCTGAGAAAGTGCAACAGGCCCACTCTCACCGGCTACAGCATCCCACGTCGGAGAATGAGGAGGCTAACCACAGCCTACGCTCGGAGGTTCGGAGAGCTGTGTGGCACTGCAAGGATGCGTGGTGGTCGCGGGATGCTGAGGAGATGGAGTCTGCCTCAATAGCCCACGATCACAAATCACTCTTTAATTCCATCAAAAAAGTAACCTGCAGCGCCACACCTATTACCATCATTAGGGGAAAGAACCGGTGATCTAATCTCCGACCCCCAGGAACAGGTTTGCAGATTTGCTGAGCATTTCTGTGAGCTCCTGGGGGAGGGGAAATCCTCAGCCTGGAAAACAACATGGGACAAAGTGGGGATGACCCTGCTGAGGCTGCAGTGCCTCAAATATTGGAAGAAGAAATCACCCCTGTGAGTGGCTGGCTGAGGTGCCATCTGTTGAGGAAGTACTGAAGGCGATCCAGAGTCTGAGACCAGGAAAGGCACCGGGCAGAGATGATCTCCCAAGCAAAATGCTGAGGGAGGGTGGCGTTTGTGCACAGACTGCCCAACATGACATCATAATAACAGTCTGGACCACTGGACGGGTTCCGCAGGATTAGAAGGATGCCCTGGTGGTCCCCATTTTTAAACCGCACAGACTGTAACAACTAAAGGGGCATCTCACTCCTCAGTGTGCCGGGAAAGGTCCTGGCAAGGTTTATTCAACATCGCCTTGCTAGGCATGCTGAGGAGAGGCTTGCAGAGCCCCAATGCAGTTTCAGGAAAGGACGGTCCTGCATAGATGCCATATTTTCTGTCCATCTGCTACAGCAGAGGTGTAGGGAATTCCAACAAGACCTACATCTCTGCTTTATTGACCTGGTCAAGTCCTAAGATACCATCAGTAGGCCTGGGCTCTGGGTTGTTCTTCGTGCTTTCGGAATCCCTGACCCTCTGCTCATTATCATTAGGACCTCATGATAGTGAGCGGGCATTCCCTGTACACCTTGGGTGCGACAGGAATGCCCTCTGGCTCCCACATTATTTAACATCTATTTCGACCACGTAGTTCGTGAATACCTTCAATAAGCTGTACCAGAGGAATTTCCATCTGGTACAGATACAATGGGAGGCTGATCGATCCCCGGGTGCGGTCAAGGTATGGCTCCCTACTGCTCAACCATGTTATGTATGCCGATGCTCTGGTGATTGCTGCTCACTCAGAGGAGGAGTTGGAGGTGCTGTTGCTGAACCTGGAGCCTGCCACTAAGAGGTGGGGCCTTACCATCAGCTCCACCAAAACTAAGCACCTGCCTGGGTATTTTGTACCATTGGAAATTCCACCCTCAAAACTCCAAATTGGTGATAGGGCAGTTGTGGAGAGAGTGGAGAGTTTCCCATACCTGGGCAGTGTGCTCATGACCGGCTCTGATTTAACAGCAGAGGTCTCACCCCGAATCAGTTGAGGCGGCATTATCTTTTCATCAGTTTCGTAACGCTGTGTGGAAGCTACCTGGTCTGTCGCTCCACACGAAGCTTCAGGTCTCTCGGCCACAGTCATTCCCTCCCTTCTCTATGCTTGCGAAACGTGGACCCCCCTAATGGAACATCTTTGCCGGTTAGAAAACAATTTGGCTGGCCTGACTACGATCCATCCTGGTTTAACCAGGCTGGATTGTGTGAGGAGCTCACAGGCAAGTCTGCATTGGCTGGGTCTTATAGCCCGCATGCCCAGCCACCGCATGCCTAAACAGCTTTTGTTCTGCCGGATCGAGGGGGCTAAACGGGTGCGACACGGCTAGAGAAGAGATGGAGTGATGTGGTACAGGAGGATGTGAAGCTAAGTGGACTTTGCCGATGACTGGTACCAGCGTGTCAGATTGGCCTCTGTGGAGTTGCTCGTGCAGGACGCTGCTGCTACTGGGCAATTGGAGGCAGTAGCCCTCCAACAACAACGAAGGGTGGAGAAGCGACGCTCACAACAACGAACGGCGCGCACAGTCGGTGCATGAGCCAGTCGTCTCAGTCAGTCGACCTGTGGCATCTGGGTCTGCCCCATGACCTCCTGCCAGTGGGCGTTCGACACTTCACGTGGCCTCAAAGTGCACATAGCCTGGCACAAGAGTCGTGGTGACGTCACTTAGTGGCGAATGGCGGTTGTTGTTGTGGTTGGAAGGTGTAGTGTAGTCGTTAGTGCACTGGGCTACAAACCCGGGTTCGATTCCCGCTCATCGCCAACACCAGTGACGATTATCTGAATCAGTCCTGGGCCTCCCCTAAGTCAATTAGGCCCAAATGAGTACCTGGTGAGGTGTGTAAACAATACACTAGGGATACAAAGGCGGCCGGGCGTGGTGTTGGTCACCCCAGCCCCTTGGGTGCAATGCCGACCTTCATAGGTGCACGCTAACAGTACTTGCCCCAACAATTTGTTAGGTGGATGTGTAGAGGGGTGTGTGGATGTGTGTTGTGGGAGGTGTAGAGGTGTGAGGTGGAGGTGTAGAGGTGTGTGGAGGTGTAAGAAGTGTGAGGATGTGTAGAGTGGAGGTTGTAGAGGTGTATGGTGGAATGTGTAGAGTGGAGGTGTAGAGGTGTATGGTGGATGTGGTAGAGTGGATGTGTAGAGGTGTGTGGAGGTGTAGAGGTGTGTGTGGATGTGTAGAGTGGAGGTGTAGAGGTGTTTGGAGGTGTAGAGGTGTGTGGAGGTGTAGAGGTGTGTGGAGGTGTAGAGGTGTGTGGAGGTGTAGAGGTGTGTGGTTGATGTGATAGAGGTGTGTGGATGTGTAGAGGTGTGTGGTGGAGGTGTAGAGGTGTGTGGTGGATGTGTAGAGGTGTGTGGATGTGTAAAGTGGAGGTGTAGAGGTGTGTGGTGGATGTGTGGAGGTGTAGAGTGAAGGTGTAGAGGTGTGCCTGGAGGGGAGTCGCTGACGTTGGTCCAGCTCGGTGCTCACCGTGGCCATGTCGATGGAGGCCGTCGCCTCGTCCATGATGAAGATGCTGGTTTTGCGCACGAAGGCTCTGGCCAGGCAGAAAAGCTGCCTCTGCCCCACGCTGAAGTTCTCGCCGTTTTCCGTCACCATGGCGTCTGTGGAATGGTGGCAGCACGATCCGACATCAGGAGTCGAATAATTGGGCATCTCCAGGGCGATGCTTGAGAGCGACTGCCATCAGCCCAACAAGGACTACACTACAGTACTCCCTTGTTATCCGCAAATCGCGTCTGGAACGCTACACGACTGCATCGAGAGAGAGAGATTGAGAGAAAGTGATGAGATAACGTCATGAGATAACGTCATGATGTGCAGCATCATAATCTAAGGTAAATTAAGTTAAAAACTATTATTTAATTCTAGATTTGAAGCTTTCGTGACTGCAAGGATTCACACTCTTTGGTTCTATTCGGTAAAGTCACATAGGTAAAACAAATTAAAATGAATTGAAATAAAATAAAATAAACAATTAAAACACGACGTTTCGGAGGCAAAGCAAGCTTCCGTCTTCAGGTGGGACCAGTCACAGCAAAATCGCTGCACCAAGTGGTGAGGTTCTGGGAACCTCGAGCTTAAATACAGGTTGAGGGGGGAGGTGGGGAGGGCCATGTAGGGGACTTTAGTGGAGTGCGGAGCTGAGTTAATCCACCTTCTGTTGTGTAGATGGGTCACTGTGTGTGTGCGTAGTATAAACGGGAAAAAATTAAGATCGTCGAGGATGTGCTGTACGGGGCAGTAGAAAGAAGGGAATAGAAAGGTTCGGAAAGCCCACCCACACAGATTCCTACATGAAACCGGATTCCCACCACCACCCAGCTCAAAAGAATTCTCTCATCAAAACGTTATACCATAGGGCTCATTGCATTTCGGACCAACACCACCTGACCAGTGAATTAAATTTGGTACGGCTGGCCCTCAGGAGGAACGGATACTCTGACCGTACCATCCGCCAAGCTGTTTCTCCTACCATACAGAAACAACCACTTGATACTCCGATCAAAACCATCACACTACCATACATAGCAGGCGTTACTAAAAAGATCTCCAAAATTCTAAATAAACACAACATCCAGGTCCGTTCAATACAGTACATAAAATTCGTGACTGATCCCATCCGTGAAGGATGTCATTCCTGACTCACAGTGCCCGGGGTTTACAAATTGAGTTGTACATGCGGTGATTGCTATATCGGGGAGACGAAACGACATGTCTCTGACCGAATTCGAGAGCACAAATCAGATTTGAAACACGGCAGAATGAATTCTTCTGCTGTGGCTGATCACTGTTACAACGCTATGGGTGACCATGAGATTGTCTTCTCCGATACCAAGGTTCTTTGTAAACCTACAGGGTACCACCAAAGATTTGTCCACGAAGCCATTCAGATTTACAAACACAGGCATAACTTCAACCGAGAGGATGGTTTCAAATTAAGCAACCACTGGAAAGACGTTTTAAATCATACCAAACGTTAACTAATTTCTAACAGCTACTTCAAGCAGTGGTATACCAAACATATTCTTTCCGAACTTTTCTATTTTCCTTTTTTCTACTGCCCCCGTACAGCAAATCCTCGACGATCTTCTTTAATTTTCTTCTATTTTTTTCCCGTTTATATTGCACACACACACAATGACCCATCTACACAACAAAAAGACGGATTAACTCAGCTCCGCACTCCACTAAAGTCCCCTACATGCCCCTCCCCCTCAACCTGTATTTAAGCTCGAGGTTCCCAGAACCTCACCACTTGGTGCAGCGATTTTGCTGTGACTGGTCCCACCTGAAGACGGAAGCTTGCTTTGCCTCCGAAACGTCGTGTTTTAATTGTTTATCTTATTTTATTTCAATTTATTATTTAATATGTTAATATTAATTTACTTTACGTATCTCTCGCGAATAACGAGGGAATAATGTACAACCTTTGTTCTAATTCTGTGTAGCGTGCCTCATTCTCCTGTGTAACCACATGTTCCACTGCACAAAAACAATCACCCTTTTGTTCTACCAGACATCAGCACTTTGACAGTACCGATTGGTGAAGAGGTGACCCAGAACCGGGTCAGATATTACTCTTCACTGGCGTTGGCCGCGGACGGGAATTTAACCCGTAGTGCAGTGCACTAATCACCGCACCATCGTAGTGGCTGATTTAAGCCCTGTCCTTCACCACTCATTACATAACTTTCTGTTATCTGCGAGATGGCTAACATAAGCAATAACGCGACATCGATGACCGGTAGGGAGCTATATCCCTTGACCACACAGACAATGGTCAACCTCCCACGGCACCGCAGAGTCAGATTGAAAAAATAAAAACCGTCGCAATGAAGATGTGAGAGAGGGGTAAGTGTGGAGAGCCGTGACTGAGATTTGGGGGGAGTTGACGCACCGAGGCCCCCCGGCAGCGCCTGACCACGTGCTTCAGCTGAGCGATGTCCAGGGCCTCCCAGAGGACCCCGTCACCACACGCCGCCTCCGGGTCCAGGTTGAACCTGTCACATAGCGTGGCACAGCAGCAGCGTGGCACAGCGGCAGCACGGCACAGCATAAGCCACGGCACAGACCTTTACGTTACATCGTGACGAGCGTTCATTATCAAAATGTGTTGCAGACGTTGCAGCACATTTTGATAATGAACCATCTCTCCTGATAATTCGATGTGTTGGGTGGTGGTGCTGGGTTCAGACATCAGTACCAAAGTGCTGATGTCTGGTAGAACAAAAGGGTGATTGTTTTTGTGCAGTGGAACATGTGGATACACAGGAGAATGAGGCACGCTACACAGAATTATATATATGAGTTTGCAATGTCTCTCTATGCAATGTCTCTCTTCCCATGGTGGCATGGATATTTCTGCGGGTCCTCCAGTTTTCCCTCCCCATTTATAAATAATGTGCGTTTTTTAGAGTATTTGGCTGTTATAAATTTCCACGTGATATGCCACCTCGTTGAGCTATCATTTGTGGCCAGGTCACTTCTGAAAGAGAGCTATCTAGCTCAGTCGGACTTACCTAGTAAAATAAAAATAATTGAGTCGTAGTTTTTTACTTTCTGAAACATCAGGACAAACTAGATTTAAAAATCAAAGTAGTTTCCTGTACAAATGAGCACAGGATGCTATTCTGTTTACACCCCTGAGGAAGCTGTGGAAATTCGACATTGGTATGGAAACTTAATTTAAAATTACTGCACGCACATTTCCATAATTGATGGTCAGTTACGCGTGTTAACAAAATATTACTTGCTGAATAAATGCTGTCATAATAAAAATCGCTTAACCGTTTAAAATATCCCCCCAAAATTTACCTGATAAACCTAACGCCAACACCTAACTTAACTTAATTAAAGTTAACAAATTACTGTGACTCGTAAAAATGTGTTTGGGTTAGATTGCATAAATATAAATGTGTCATGAACCCAGCACCACCACCCAACACAGCCAATTAATAAGGTTTTTCACGTAAATAAAACGTGCCAATCAGTTACTACGTCAGCACACCAGTGTGTTGGAGAGTAAACTCATAACATTTACAATTTGAGCACGAAGTTTCTTTGGTGATTACAACCAGCTTCATCAGCCAATTTGCCAGGATTGTGAAGAAGTCTTTCTATTTTAGTCTTAAATAGATAAAGATGATGTCATCATTGTGTGCCTATTAGGTGTGAAAATCAAAGGAGGTTATTGTAACCATAGAAATTATAATGGATTGTTAATCTAAAAATATGCGGAACATATTACCGGTTTGGTAACCTGAATAGGTGTGCAATTAAACGGTGTGCAATTAAACGGTGTGCAATTAAACGGTGTCACAACAGCATGTAGCTGTCAGAAGAGTAAAACAGTGTTGTTTTATTTCACTCAATTTCAATAGATTCTCTACATGGGCGGAGCTTCACTTCCAAACTGGACACCTTTGTTAATTAATTTGCAGTCGTTTACAATGAAGATTAAAAAGAAATAAATGTATTAATTATATGCACCCGCGATTCCTAATCTGAGGGACAAAGCGAACTCCTGTCCCCCCCCCCCCCCCGAATACAGAAGTCAAACTCTCTGCCTATGATTCTATAAATAAAGAGATATACAAATATTTGTAGGCGTGGGAGAGGGTGGAGGTGACCGCGGTGCACGAGGATGGACGAGGAGGAGGGGGGGGGGCGGTAACCTGATTGATCCACTGAAGAGAATGGGATCCTGCAGGATGATGGACAGACGCGAACGCAGCGTGTGCAGGGGGATCTTGGCGATGTCGATGTTGTCAATGATAATCCTCCCTGCGCACGGCGCGCACGGGGGAGACGGCGGCCTTGTTACGGGCGTGCGATGGCGTCCCACATTCACCGGGCCCCCCCCCAAAAAAATGTCCATTTCAGTCGCGCTCACAAATCGTCGCGTGCTGGAATCAGGCGAGCCGCAACTCGCGAAGCAAATGTAACGGTCGGGCTGACGGAGCGGAATGCAGCGGTACAAATGAGATGGGGGAAAAACTGCAAAACACTACGAATGAGAGCGTAGAATGCACAGAGGGGAAGTGATTCTTGAGTTGAATCAGAGCAACCGATTACGTCTCTCGTGTCTGGACCAGAGGTGGCAGACAAAGGGTCAGACTCATCAAGCCTTGGTGAAACTGTCACAACACATTGCCTTAAGCAGTCTGTCCATTATTGTTATTAGAGACATCAGTGGCTTATTTCACAAAGCTGCAAGGAACGCTTGCTAACCTGTGAATTTACACCAACGTACATATGCGTAGCACAGAGATGGACATGCAAATGCATACACTTTACCTCATCGCGTATTGTGGTGAATGGTACATTATAAACATGGCGCGAAAGAAGAATTCAACATACATACATACAGTGAGGAAAAAAGTATTTGATCCCCTGCTGATTTTGTACGTTTGCCCACTGACAAAGAAATGATCAGTCTATAATTTTAATGGTAGATTATTTGAACAGTGAGAGACAGAATAACAACAAAAAAACAGAAAAAACGCATGTCAAAAATGTTATAAATTGATTTGCATTTTAATGAGGGAAATAAGTATGTCATGTTTTGCAGAGGGGTCAAATACTTAATTACCTCATTAAAATGCAAATCAATTTATAACATTTTTGACATGCGTTTTTCTGGATTTTTTGTTGTTATTCTGTCTCTCACTGTTCAAATCAACCTACCATTAAAATTATAGACTAATCATTTCTTTGTCAGTGGGCAAACGTACAAAATCAGCAGGGCATCAAATACTTTTTTTCCCTCACTGTACAACGGTGCCTTACAGTACTGTTTTCTGGACCAAATGCAACAATGTACTTCTTTACAACAGTAATGCAAGAGAACCTACATATCACGGAATTGCAAATTCTTTACCAGAACTTATAAACCCCAACTCCACTATATTTGTACCAAATTTCAGTTTATAACGAAGCATTTGCACAGCACTCGTAGCAAACTGCAGTGTGAATGTGATCATTAATATCACCTTCAAAAGTGTCCACCATCCGGAAGAAGGCCAGCGAGAGCGAAGATTTCCCACTCCCCGTGCGGCCACAGATTCCCACCTGGGCAAACGTTCACGGTGGCAGCATCAGGGTTCATCGGTTACTGTATATATCATACAATACACGTAAACTAGGTGGGTTCTTCCCACTCGCGACTAACACGCTGACAAAGATGCCATGTTTGGACTCAGCATCGTTGGAAACCCCCAGATGCAAACATATGTTGGCCTACATTCAAAAGTAAAAACGTAATTTTTTTTCCTGGTTTGAGCAGGCCCAAAAATTTCATTTGGATTTGTAATTATTATAGTTCTAAGCAAAGACTCGACGAGATGTAAGTCAATTTCGCCTCACAGGCTCTTCTAGAACATCATCATAATACACCAATACCAATACCCGCCGTTCGTGACTAAGTGACGATGACGTAACCACAGCGCCAGTGCCAGGCCAGGTGCACTCTGATGTATACCACAGTCACTCACTCGCTCACTGATTGAAAGAAAAAATAATTTTAAATCAGTCAGGCGTCACAGCCAAGGAACGAATCGGCAAGACACAGTAGGAACTATTTGTCCTTCTGGACATGTGTGAAAAAAGAGCTTCATAGCTCATCGGATTCCTCCAGGATGAATAAAAAATGATGAATTTTTTGGGTTGTTCTCCCATTAATGAGCGACAAATCTGGAACACCCTGCCTGCCACCAGGCGTCTGAAACGTGCCAAGTGTCTCCCAATTCCGTGGTCTGTGCAAGACATCTATTCATATTCAGTTCGCATATATTTGATTTACTACCTTTCTTATGCTATTTATTGCGCACGGTTGCACGTTCTTTTGCGTGCGGTGACAATTGACTCTGCTCGGTCGGTGTTAACCGCTAAGGCCGTGACGGGTCTGTCTTCATTATTGTTGCTGCTCTACGTCCCCCCTGTACCGTTCCCGTTCTGCTGTAACGTGCGACGATGCCTACTTCATCGAGGGTGATGTCGGCCCTTACAAAAAAAAAAACAATTGATCGCTCGCTTGATTGATTGAAAATAATAAACGAACAAATAATAAATCCGGGCCCTGCTGGCCCGTGCGTGCGTGCATTCGTGCTCCACCTTTTGGCTGGGCTGGATTGTGGCGTTGACGTGCTTGAGGACGGGCTTCAGCGTGCTGTCGTAGCGCACGGACAGCTCCTCGATCTTGATCTCGCCCGACTGCGGCCAGTTGTCCGGAACTTGCGCTTGGGCTGCACGCGACACGGCATGCACGCACCCTCGTCATCGTTAGCTAGCGTGCACACGCACCCTCGTCATCGTTAGCTAGCGTGCACACGCACCCTCGTCATCGTCGCTCGCGTGCACACGCACCCTCGTCATCGTCGCTCGCGTGCACACGCACCCTCGTCATCGTCGCTAGCGTGCACACGCACCCTCGTCATCGTTAGCTAGCGTGCACACGCACCCTCGTCATCGTCGCTCGCGTGCACACGCACCCTCGTCATCGTCGCTAGCGTACACACGCACCCTCGTCATCGTCGCTAGCGGCACACGCACCCTCGTCATCGCTAGCGTGCACGCACCCGTCATCGTCATGCACACACACGCCTCGTCATCGTTTAGCGTGCACAGCGCCCTCTCGTCATCGTCGCTACGTACACACGCCCCTCGTCATCGTTAGCTAGCGTGCCCACGCACCTCGTCATCGTCGCTCGCGTGCCCACGCACCCTCGTCATCGCGCTAGCGTGCACACGCACCCTCGTCATCGTCGCTCGCGTGCACATGCACCCTCGTCATCGTCGCTAGCGTACACACGCACCCTCGTCATCGTCGCTCGCGTGCACACGCAGAACCGAGCTATCGCGCCTCACCCGCGGCGTGTGGGGACGTTGCGATAACGTCGGCGACGTCAGGCACGGTGATGATCGATCACATTCTTCACTTCCATAAGGCCGTGGGGCCGATGGGTTGTGTAAATAAATGGTTTATTTCTCACGTGCAGACAGAGGTATGTGAGGAAAGCGAATTGCCCACTTTATCTATTTTGTTCATCACATGACGAAGTGCAAAGGGCAATCCGTTAAGGGTCGGCCAATTGGCACAGATTCACCTTCAGCTTTGTGTGGGATCAACAGGTGGCATACATAGCATGGCGCAATCACAAGTGTGCTTTGGGGAAATGTGTACTGCCGTGATGCAAGAAAAATGTGCTGTGCACATTGAAAGTTTCTTTTTATCAACTTAAAAAAACTCTTTATATTGATTTGATATTAAAATAAATATTTCAGAGACAAACATCTTTTTCTCCACACACAATTACATTAGTTTAAAAAAAGTTAGTTCATTACTTATGGACCTTCTGGACCAACAGTTTAAGCAGACGAACTCCAGTCTCATCAGCAGTGTGGTCTATTCATTAAATGTTGCATGGTTGCAGTCATTGTGAGCAAAATATTAATTGGTATAAAAAGTCAGACTTTTACTTTACACAATGGCACATGAAGAGTTTTTGATTTGGATAATTATACTTGTTAATATTCCATCATTTAATCTGCCTTACCTATGATCATACATTGTAACATTGACTGATAAGACCTAAAAGCATGAGTCATAAAAATCTAGAGACTATGTGCCACCCTTCTCAAATAAGCAATGGTCAGAGACATGCAAACTTCAGTTATACAGCCGCCTGAGTCGGGATATAACGCAGGCCCTCCTGTATACCAAGCGAGGTAGTTAACATATCACCACCGCGAGCTTTGTGCTGTCACCTCAGTCAGAAGACTTTCTGGCAGTCTCCGTTCAAAACGGCAATCGTGCACGTGACCCAATCAGCAAAGAATAATAATCAGCCTGCTTGCCGTGACGGCAAGCTGCAGACGTCAAGGGCTCATGTGCTACTGCACAGCCTGTTATGGCAGATATAACTAAGCCTGTCATCCGCACTTTTTTGAGCTTTTTCATTAATTTTTTAGAGCCATTTTATCAATCCACTGCTGTGTCGGTGTTGGGAATTGTTCTTACCATACTTCACCACAATGGTCCGTGCAGGTTGATTAAGGGTGTGGCCAGGCCTGGCTTGCATATAACTCGCCACTTGACGTTAGCCACAGCTGGGAATTGAACTCGGTTCGCTACACGGGTTCGTAGCATGATGTGCCGACCCGCTGTGCCAAAGCCCCATCCAATCTTGAGTTTGCAGGCCTGCACATCCTATGGACTAACCACCGTGCAACAGTTCTTGGCGAGAAAATGCCGGAGAAGGCCCAAGAGTCACTCACAAAGCAGCCCGTCATAGGATTCGGTCTCGATCTGCAGGAGGTTGTTCACTCGCTTTATGGCTCCCATCTGCACCTCGATGTCCGCCAGGTTTCGCACGACCCAGTTCAGGTAGTTCGACACCTGCATCACAGCCCAGCGTGTGGAGGTCAGGGCGAACAGGACAGGTTACACGGTGTCCAGTCGCTGATGTTAACATATCTCAGTCTTCGGCATTAGCTGCACAGATCGTCACGGTTCAATGATGGGAAAGCCACTTGTATTACGCTGATACCATGAATCCCAGTTTAACACGTAGGCTTTCACGCCAATATTATTCACGTGTCGACACATTTATACTTACGTGAACTCACCCAAACACCTTTATTACCATTAATCCCAGCAACCCGTGGACCAACAGGATATCATATAACACGTAGTAAGACGTTCTTCTGTTTATGATTGCATGTTTGGAAGTTATTTATGCTTGATGAATGGATATTAATATTATTTTCAGAAAAAAGACCGTTCCAAATAAGGGACGATATTTAAGCATAACATTTGTGGCTACAGCCAATGTTTAAGTCTTGTCAAATTCAGCAGTTAAATGGTTGCACAACTGTTAACGTAGATTAGTAAATTTGCCCGGAAGCTTTACAGGGCTTGGAACACTTTGTACAGACTCGGAGCTGTCCGTGGTGAGATCCAAATTGATCACAGCATCACATTGTACAGTGTCTTGAGATGCAGTTATCCATAGACATGACATGAACACAATTCGTACTGCATTGCATCACACTAAGGTGTGGTCCAACCGACACACACACACACATCATTATTTACTACTATGAGCCAAGAATGTCTGTGTGTCCCGTGTGTGACGTCACTCCACAGCGACCTGCTCCCCTCATAAAAAATCATGAGCAGCCTCCACATGGACCCCCCCCCCTCATGAATAATCATGAGCAGGTGACGTCACTCCACATGTAGCACCCCCCCCCACCATTAATAATCATGAGCAAGTGACGCCACTCCACATCGAACAGCCCCTGACATGAATAATCATGAAGAGGTGACGTCTTCCAAATGGACACCCCCCTATTAATATTAAATAGCCTGTTGCCCGTCCAAGGGTGGGTATATTGCAGTAAATCTGAAACTTGCAAGCGAAAAGCAGACCGCAACTTGATATTGTAAGGGCGCGGTGAAACAGACCGATTTCATTTTAAGGTTATAATCCCTTGTTCATCACGACGTCCTTTTTACTTCGATGTCTCAACAGCCTTACGGAGATCACGTGATGACGTGAGGGTTCTGCCTTTGCAGTGAGGGTTGTAAGTTGACGCCGAGGAGGGGGGAGGAGGCGCCTCGCTCCCCCCCCCCATGTGGAGTGACGTCAGCCGCTAATTATTCCAGGCGTTCCCAGGCCAGCTGAGCGACATAGTCCCTCCAGTGTGTCCTGGGCCGGCCCACTGGGACGTGTCCGGTTAGAATTACAGGGGGAGTCTACAGGTGCATCCTTACCAGGTGCCAAACCACCTCAACTGGTTCCCCATAGAACAGGGGTCTCCAACCACCGGGCTGCAGACCGGTACCGGTCCGTGGCCTGTTAGAAACCGGGGTCGCACAGCAGGGGTGTGAGAGGTGGGCGAGCGAGCGAAGCCTCATCTGTTATTTACAGCCGCTCCCCATCGCTCGCATTACCGTCTGAGCTCCGCCTCCTGTCAGATCAGCGGCGGCACCCCCAGATGGGACCGACTAGTTGCAGGAAAAGAAGCTCAGGGCTCCCACTGATTCTGCATTATGGTGAGTTGTATAATTATTTAATTACATATGTTGCAATGTAATAATAATAGAAATAAAGTGCACAATGAATGTAATGCGCTTGAATCATCCCGAAATCATCCCCCCCCCGCCGCCGCCCCCCCCAGACCGTGAAAAAATTGTCTTCCACGAAACCGGTCCCTGGTGCCAAAAATGTTGGGGACCGCTGCCATAGAAAATAAAAATGCTCGCCTGCTAAAGAAATGCACCTCTTCACCACCTTCTATCACTTGTGGCCAGGTGGCTTCTGATAAAGAACTAATAGCTGAGTGGGCTTTTCCTGGTAATATAAAAAGTTTAGTTTATTTTTAGTGATTTGCTTACTTTTCCGATTGTTTTTATCGCTGTAACTTTCTGACTTACCCCCCTTGCTGGACATCTTAGTTTAAAGAGTTTTGTAGCTCAACGGATTTCCCGAGGATAAATAAAAGATTATGATTCTCACAGCCCCCCCCCCCATCCCCCCCTCCCGGGAGAAGACTGTTTGAACAGAATTGCACTCCATGCCATTCCCAGGTGAAGGTAGCGGTAGGGGGCCTCACCATGAGCGCGTAGGTGAGGCACAGGCCCACGCGTGCCGACGACAGCGTGTTGTTCCACGAGTCGGTGATGGAGGCCACGGACGCGATCAGCACGATGCACGCCCCGATATAATCCTTGCACCACGCAGAGAGAGAGAGAGAGAGCCGGCACGGCCGCTAAACTCCCGCCATGCAATCACCGCCGTCCTTCACTTGGCCACAAACGCCTCACAGAGTCTCAATAATATTTGAACTAAAATTATAAACTATTTTTTATTTTACCAGGTAAGGCCCCACTGAGCTGTATAGCTCTTTTTTTAGAAGCGACCTGATTGCCCAATGAAGTAGGTTATCACGTGGAAATTTATAGCAGCCAAATACTCTAAATGCATGTTTCTAAATATCGAGGGGAAAATCCGAGGATCTGGAGAAAAATCTACCTGACCACGGGGAGAACATGCAAACTCCAAATATACAAGCGTCAGGGTCGGGATCGAACCCATGACCTCCTGTAAACCAGGCGAGGTAGTTAACATCTTGCCACCGTGGCAAGTTGTTCAGATTTCAGGATGGGCCCAAGTTGGGATGTTTGAACAATTCTCAAGTGGGTGTTCTGCACCAGAAAAAAAAAAAACAATCACGAGGGAATGACACTGCATGGGTATAGGTCAGCAGAACACTTGATGTGCTGCCACCTGTTAGCCACGTCCGAGCTCAGTAAGGTGGGAATCAGATAGGACATAATGAAACTGCATGATCTTGATTTGAAGCTTCGGTAATGTCACGTAGGTAGAAATAAAAAAAATCACGACGTTTCGAATGCAACACAAGCGTCCGTCTTCAGGTGAAAATCGCGACAGCTGCGATGTCTGCTGCGAGCAGCACGATGTCCGCTGCCTTTACGTGACTTTACCGAGAGAACCAAAGAGTATGAAAACTGCATGATCCATCAACTTTGACTCCAAATTGCAGTGTTACAGGTGTGAGGCACTAACTTTGACTCCATACAGGTGCGAGGCACCAACTTTGACTCCACATTGCGGTGTTACAGGTGTGAGGCACCATGCCATTGTCATGCATTAATATGCCACCATCGATACATAACATAATTTGGCCATCATTATGAAGGCAGCACACGGTATGTATGGGCTTGTGGGCCGTACTGAGGCCATAGAGAGCCCAGGAATAGCCGCGACTGCGTGGCTTTCACTGCATTGCTTGGAGTTATGCCCGAGTCGTGAAAAACTCAAACATTTTGATTAACCTTTAATAAGGTAACTTAAAGGATTAAAGAACACAACCCAGGTTAATGACGTAAGTCAAACGCTTAAGTGGAGCTGGGTAGGGGACATCTCAAGAAGGAATGATGGGCGATGGTTAAGTATAATAACGGAGAGGCGGTTAATGAATGGAATTAGTCCGATAGAGCGTCCAGTAGGGAGATGCAGCAATGAAATCAGTTCATGGGTAGGTGCCAGGTAGATGATTACATCACAGAATCGTAAGAGGTGGCAATAGCTTGGGGGGGGGAGCTTCATCCAGCAGTGGAATGACCATGACTGATGATGAAAACGATGCTCATTTTGTTGTACCAATATTCTTCAAGAATTAATTTAATTTATTGTAGCTTTCACATCACTTTAACTTGCCAGCTAGATTTCCTGCCCAGTTTAAGCGAGTCCTCCAGGCTGGGCTGTCCAGGAGGATGAGTGGTCGTTACTCATTACCGGTTGTAACCTGAAGGATGAATGAGCGTGGTGGTGAATAGCTGTAATCCAGTGCTTGGACGGGATTCACAGATGACGCTGACTAATCAAAGGCACGAGACTCCCAGCCTGGCAGACTATGAGATGGCCAGTAGATAGCGTTACAGCAAGTGAGCTTGTGGCCGATATATACAATTCACTAATAGGGGTTCTTTTTCCCCTGCATACATGTGGCTTTTCTCCACATATTCCAAAAAAATACCCAAATGCAAAATGTAAGTGACCAAACATCTCAATGTAAAGCCTTCAACAAAACACTGTGAGAATCATTATGCTTATCAAGATAATAAAAAAGCATAAATATAGCAGACCGAATAGTTAAATCAAATTGATTACATATTTATGATTTTATGTGTACCTGGCTGGCAGTAAATACACCCGTCAGATAATTTACCTCAATAACCAGACACTGCATGCCCCTGTGTTTACCAGATTCGGCCACCAGCCCCTAAAACCCTTACACCTGCTCATCCAGTGCACACTCACCGCTCTCACCGCTCACCCCCCACGTCGCTCGCCAAATACCATCGCTGGCCAGTGACTACTGCAGCCAACTTACCAGGCGCACCTCCAGCCAGCGGTTGGCAGCTGACAGGAAGAGGTACGAGATGTTGTTGGCGTCCGTGAGCTCCAGCAGCCGCTGGCGGAAGCGAACCTCGTGCCTGCGCGAGACCGAGAACAACGACCATGGGTGAAACACGGCGGAGACCCTTGGTGCACTCTCCTGATCCAGTGCTGTGACAGACGGGCCGTGGTGGCTATGGTGCGTGTGTGTTGGCAAATTCCTGTGATCTAGCACCGTGAGAGACGGGCCGTGGTGGTTATGGTGCGTGTGTGTTGGTAAATTCCTGTGATCTAGCACCGTGAGAGACGGGCCGTGGTGGTTATGGTGCGTGTGTGTTGGTAAATTCCTGTGATCTAGCACCGTGACAGACAGGCCGTGGTGGTTATTGTGCGTGTGTGTTGGTAAATTCCTGTGATCTAGCACCGTGACAGACAGGCGGTGGTGGTTATGGTGCGTGTGTGTTGGCAAATTCCTGTGATCTAGCACCGTGACAGACAGGCCGTGGTGGTTATGGTGCGTGTGTGTTGGTAAATTCCTGTGATCTAGCACCGTGACAGACAGGCCGTGGTGGTTATGGTGCGTGTGTGTTGGCAAATTCCTGTGATCTAGCACAGTGACAGACGGGCTGTGGTGGTTATGGTGCGTGTGTGTTGGCAAATTCCTGTGATCTAGCACTGTGAGAGACGGGCCGTGGTGGTTATGGTGCGTGTGTCTTGGTAAATGCCCGTGATCTAGCACCGTGATAGACGGGCCGTGGTGGTTATGGTGCGTGTGTGTTGGTAAATGCCCGTGATCCAGCACTGCACCTCCGATGAGCACAGTCGGCTACGCACGGTGCGAAAGAAGTTAAACGTACATACAACACTCGTTTAGTATTTAAAACGCAAACTAAACAATGTTTCACTTAATAAATTAAGGCCTACTGAGTGTACAGCTCTTTTTCAGAAGCGACCATGCTATCACAAGTCATAGCTCGACGAAGTGGCTTATCACGTGAATATTTCTAGAATCCAAACACTCTAAACGCGTGACATCGATTCTCCCTGTGGAGGGGAAAACCAGAGGACCCGGAAAAAAATCCACGCGACCACGGAGAGAGAGAGAGACTCGCAAACTCCAAACATACAGCAGTCGTCAGGGTCAGGATCGAACCCACGACCTGCTGTATACCAGGCGAGGTGGTTAACATCCCACCACCGTGGCGCCCATGCGCGCGAAGGTGCAGCTATTTATTCCTGCACGAACAGAGGAGCAATGAAGAATACCGGAAGGCACGGATGGTGGTGATGCCCTCGACGGTCTCAGAAAAATGTGAGAATAGCGGCAGCTGGGTGCTGTCGTCCAGTTCCTGCAGGTCCCTGCGGAGCGACACAGACAGCTGTGATTCACGGAACGTTCAGCAGTACCAGAGGATGTCAAGTTCGTGTATTCAATAAAAGAGAAAAAAAATCATCTTTACCTTTCTGGCAATAATACTGGCAAAAAGGGTCCCGTAGATATAACTGCTCAAACCTAGCTTTTAATGCTCTGATACGTGCATTGCCTTTGTGCTGTTCGCCTTTTGGCGTCCTCTGGTCCAACACTGGTGAGATTAGCCCATAGAGAAGGCTATCTCTGGTGTAGACCAATCAGTTTCAAAGACATAGCATATATTATCAGAGCATGTTTGTTTGCATATTTTACCACAAACATGTGTGGTTAATGCAGAATCGATGCCTTGCAATGGGTGTCTATTTGGTGTTTGAACATCTTAACACCTTATTCTTTGGATCTTTCGGTAAAGTTACGTAGATAGGGTCAAAGAAAATAACAAAAAACTACGACGTTTCGATCGCAACACAAGCAGTCGTCATCAGGAAAAGGGGGCTAGCTTCTAACGGCAACCTATTTATAAAGGTGTAAGGGATCTGCGAGCCACCCTCACGCACTCGCACCACGCAGACATGAAATCTCCGCACTCAGTATAACACGCACCAATCACAGACACGGGAATACACTAGACGGGGGTCAAGGGTTAAAGGGCACTGACGTCACCCGGACCAGGCGTGCGAGACGAGGATGTGTATTGGGAACGAGGGCGGAGATGGAGGTGTTAAAAGGGGCTGTGAGACGCGTGTTCGAGGTTGGTTTTGGAATGAGTGCGGCTGTGGGTTAAAGAATAAAGAAGTGCTTAACCAGTCTCCGGCTCCTCTTCAAAGGTTTGAAATGGGCTTAGCCCACATGTCAGCAGCATGGACGGGGCAGCTAATGTTAATGGTGGAAAACCCACCACTGTCGCAGTCGCCACTTACATTAACATAAGCTGCCCCGCCCATGCTGCTGACATTTGGGCTATGCCCATTTCAAACCTTTAGAAATAGGTTGCCTTTAGAAGCTAGCCCCCTTTTCCTGATGACCACCGTTTGTGTTGCGATCGAAACATTGTACTTTTTTGTTATTTTCTTTGAACCGATCTACGTGACTTTACCGAAAGACCCAAAGAATATGAAATTCTGCAGTCACGAAAGCTTTAAGTCAAGATCTTAACACCTTCAGTACAGTTACAAAACAGGGTACAAAGCCTGTTCTTTTTTTTCATCATTTTGATACTTGCAGAAAGCGGTGCATTGGCAGGGGTGCGAAAGCAGAAATGAAAAGAGCTCAACACATTCGTCGGTGCGAAAGAAGTTCAACATGCACATGTACGTACGTACAGGGCACCGCAGGCTGGTGCTCTCACCTAGAGGCAACGCGGAAGTACTTCTGGATAAAGTAGTAGGCGATGGCGAGCGGCACGAGGGCGATGAGGAAGATGGGCGTCACGTAGGCGATTATCCCGAGCGCCGACAGGCACAGCAGCGCCGAGCGCATCAGTGACTCCAGCGTCGTCGGGATTTGCTGCAAGGAATCATCAAGAAGCAGTGGTCGGCATGTGCGTCTGTCTGTTTGTGCCTGTTTATCCTGTCTATCCGGGAAGGGGAGCGGTTAGTGGAGCGGTTCGCATGCTGAGCTATGAACCCGGAGACCCCAGTTCGATTCTCGCTCAAACGGCAACCAACACCAGTGACAATTATCTGAACTTGTAGTGCACCTCCCCTAGGTCGACTCAGACTCAGATTAGTAAAATATCGCCATTGGGGAGACAAAGGTGGCCGGGCGTGCTGCTGGACCACCCACCCCCTCGTGTGCCGTACCTGCCTTCATAAGTGCTACTCTTTAACAACACTTACCCCAATAATCTGTTAAGGCTATATGGCGGATCTTTGTCTTTGTCTGTCTGTCTTATCGTGTATCAGTGTGCCCAGTATCATTACGGCTATTCCTATGTGAACGTGTGTCCATTATAGAGGTGCCTGTGTGTGTCTTCTGTGTCTATCTGCTCAGTAAAATTCCCAGTGCTTGCCCATGTGATAATGTATTTACACATTTACTAAAATGAAAGCAATATAAGGTAAATCGCACTTTTAGCATTTACACCAAAAGTGAAGTACAAACACAGGATAGTTACTGCACGAGGCAGTATATCAGTGAGCAATGTATAAACACAAGCTCTTATTCACAGATTCATCGTCTTTAGTTTCATCGCTAACTTGTGTGTCCTCTGGGTAATTGACGTCATACTGGATAATATCGGTCGCAAGAGCCTACGTGTATATCTCAAGGTGGTTGTCAAGGGGGGCCCAACTCGAAGCCTCGGCCACCTGGGAGGGGGGGAGGGGCAAGGCACCCCCTGCCCCCACGCTCGTTACGCTAATGGGTGTACCTATATAGATTTATCTTTTGCGTGTGGTCCCTTTTATGTGTGCGTACATGCAGAACATTTTGCATCTGTAGATCGGGAATGCCATTTCACAGTCCAAACACAACGTAGTTCGGGGGTAAACAAAGGGTTTATGAGGCTACACGAGAGAGCTGCGACGACGTCTCATTGTCAACAATCGTTCCTTGTTGGATTTGTCAGTGCTCTTTAACGGCTACCCCGCACCCTCGTGAACAATTGTTACGACTTAAAATGTTGAGACGATAACAGCTTCTGGAGGTAGGCGAAGGCAGTGGAAACCGTTTCTCTCCTGGACCGAGTCTCGTCTCTCAGGGGGAGTGACTGCCACTCAACGGTTGTGACTGTTCACAATGCTGCCCATAGCACTTACTCGTAAGATTTTAACATCAAAACTTCGTTTGACTGAGCAAAAGCGGAGGATCCAATGGGGCGGGTGATGGAGATTATTGCTTCCCCCCCAGGTGGCTCTGAAAAGTGGTATTTTATCGATATTTAGCAGAGAAAATGGATTTAATGTTTTATGCTTGTTAATGGTCCTTTTTAAAAAGCTTGTAATTTGGGGACCGCCTCCCTTGGGAATATTTTAAATCGTTTATTAGCAACCCGCAAGTCCTTTGGAAGTGACTGTCCATTCGTCCCGCCCAGCCAGCCAGCAAAACTTTTTAACTTAAATAGAACCCTGTGTCTTCTCTCCACCTATTGCCTTCTCGGTGCTGTATATCCCAATTTGTTTTACTTTGCCTCCATTCACATCCGTTTCTCTATTTCTCGGTCCCCTCTTCGAGCTCTCCCTCTGTATTCCTCTCCTCCAACAACAAGAGCAGCCGCCATTTGCCATTAAGTGGCAGTGACATCATTACAGCCCTTGTGTCAGGCTATGTGCACTTTAAGGCCACGTGAAGTGTCGAACGCTCGCTGGCAGTAGGTCATGGGACAGACCCAGGTGCCATGGGTTGGCCGGGGTGGAGGGTGGGTGGCAGGGGAGGTGTGACATCATTATCATGCGCAAACCCAGATCAACGCTGTGGCATGCGGGTGACATCATCACACAGATGCGAGCAGTCACATTACTACCGAGCACGCGCACTTGTGCGCTAGCCGGCCAGGCAGACAGGAATCCAGGCAGAAAACTTTTTTTTACATAGTATTCTTTTTCGATTTGAAGCTTTCGTGACTGCAAGGATTCATCTTCTTTGGTTCTTTCGGTAAAGTCACATAGAATGAGAATAAAATAATAAAATAACACAATAAGATTCTCACGACGTTTCGGCCACAACGCAAGCGGCCTTCTTCAGGTGAAAGGTACAGAGCTGTCGGGACGACAGAGCTTTCACCTGAAGACGGCTGCTTGCGTTGTGGCCGAAACGTCGTGAGAATTTTATTGTGTTATTTTATTATTTTATTCTCATTCTACGTGACTTTACCGAAAGAACCAAAGAAGATAGTATTCTTCATCCAGAAAAGCCAGGAGGGTCCTGCATTGGGTTTTTATTTAAGATGAACTGCAAGCGGCACAGATCTACAACAGAAAAGGGGAAATCCTTCATCCGAGCTGTGTTGGTCGTCACCCAAATGTAAAGCAGATGGCGACTTGTGATGACGAAGTGCAGGACCACACATTTGTAGCAATGTCCGTCTCACAAAGTCTGTGTCACACAGTCCCCACCTGGTCCATGATGTTCGTGTCAGCTGAGAAGCGGTTGAGGATGTGTCCCAGGGGAGTCGTGTCAAAATACCTGAAGTCAGGAAAAAAAACCGACATGACTTACACCTGATGGTACTTGCCTGTAAACACACTGTCAATGCTTATATCCGATTCTAAAAACTAAACTCTTTTTATTTCACCAGGTAAGGCCCACTGAACTATGTAACTCTTTTTCAGAAGCGACCTGGCTAAGCAAATGATAGCATAACGAAGTGGCTTACTTGTGGAAATGTATAGCAGCCAAAAATTTCAAGCGACAACGGAGAGAGAGAGACACATGCCAACTCCACATATACAGGCGTCAGGGTCGGGATTGAACCCACCGATGCTGTTGTCTTAGCGCTCAAGACCGATGCTGCTGCTGTTACTCTGATCCTGAAAAAAAAACTTCACATTGGAAGCCAGCAACCCTGAAAACTCTCATCCTATCTCAAGCCACCCTTGGCTTGGAGAAATTCCTAGGTAAGGTCATCTCCTGACGTGACTTCCATTCACCTCTCTCTCCATCCTCTAACAACCCAGTACAATTGGGTTTCTGCCAACAGCATTCAGTCAGAGCTGCTCTCCTATGAGTGGTAAATAACCTCCTTCCTCCTCAGATAAGTTTTAGAGCGTGTGACATTTAATCTCCCATCGCGCCTTTAATTTTTAGTGATGCTTGTTTACCCAGGAGAGCCTCACTGAGTTTCAAGACTCGTTTTAAGGAGTGTCCTGCCAAGTTTTTCACAGTATGAGGGCAATATTTATGCTGAGTGTAATCTCAAATGAGTCATTATTAGGTGATTTTTTTAGCATTGGAATGTCTGGCCAATATTAGTTATATTGTATGATTTATTAGGTATTGGAGGAAACTGGAGAAACCCAGAGGAAATCCATGCCAAACAAGGGGGAGATCATACAAACGCCACAGATAAAGAAGCCTGAGTCGGGAATGGCAGACCCAGACCATTCCTGCTGCGTGGCACGAGTGTTTCCACTGTGTATACATATTTTTGTGACACCGTACGTAGCCAACCGCACTCATCAGAGGTGTGGGCAGAAAGAACAACAACCACTGTGCCACTCCACCACCCAGGGGCAAGTCTCGTGGAAGATGCCCTAAGGTACGTACTCATGAGAAGCTGAGTAAAGCCAGGGGAAGCCTTCGTCAGGTGTGGAGGGGCTGATGGTCACTACCATCGGGCTCATCTCTGCTAAAGAAGCACCACAATCATGCCGAGGCCTCCTGCGAGGGCCTCGCTCGGACGACTCAACCAACGTCCCTTGTGGATCACAGGGGCCCGGCCGTGCGCGCTGCTGCTACCTCATAGGCGCCAGCACGATCCTCTTGAGCATGTTGTTGTGCACGTTCCTGGCCGTCTTGAGGCCGGTCCACTCCACGGTGAGGGACGTGATGAAGCAGAGCGCGATGCCCGAGCAGCAGAGCAGCCCGAATACCATGGGGTAGATGCAGAGGATGCGGCAGCCCTGCAGCTGCAAGGCAACACAGTGATTGTATTTCGGAATCAGAATCTCTATTTATAGAGTACCGGAGGAATCCGCTGAGCTATAAAGCTCTTTTGCACAGTTGTCCAATAGCGACGGGTCAGAAGGTTACAACAACAAACAATATGAAAACGCGATAGTATAGCAAAGGTAAACAGATCACAAAAAAAACTATTCCATGTTTAGTTTACCAGGTAAATCCCATTGAGCTAATAATTTATTTTTCAGAAGCGACCTGGCCACAAATGATAGCTCAACGAAGTGGCTTATCACGTGGAAATGTACAGCAGCCAAATACTCTAAACGCATGTTTCTAAATGTGGAGGGAAAATCCATGTGACCACGGAGAGAACACGCAAACTTCAAATATACAGCAGGCGTCAGGGTCCGGATCGAACCCATGAACTCTGGTATACCAGGCAAGGTCGTTAACATCTCGCCATACTCAATAACCTCCACGCTGTCTCAATCACCATCACACTCAATCAGAATCGTATACGAGAATAAAGTGGAGTGTCCAAACAACCTCGCAGACAAACCAGAATTCTGCTCAGCGCACCGCCGCCTTGACACAAACCATTGCATAACTGGCAAGTGTCTCGTACACAGCGGCCTTGCTGCTCGCATTCGTAGGTATAGTCTGTTCTCCTACAATGCCTCGTGTTGTTTTCATAACGCAAAGCGGACATAACGCAATGAATGTATCAGGGAAAACATTTTCTATAACGCGGTTGGATACAACGTGATTGAGTGAACAGAACTACGTCGCGCGAGTAGGAATAAGCGGTTGTATGGCTGCCTCGCTGTAGCATCGCACAAGGCGTTGGGATGCTGCTGGATGCTTCGAGATGCTACCCACGCGCCACGGTCTTTGCTCAGCTTGCGTACGCATCTCACGTGTTATCACAGACTGCTTTGCCCTATATTATTTATGATAACCAGATTTTTCCATAACACAGTCTATTCTATACCGCGTTATAGAATAGACTGTACATGCCACTGCAGCCAACTATACGGTCAAACGTAACACTTCATGTGAGGTAATGTGCACACATGGAGGTGCACCCAGGCCTGATGAGATGGGTGGGAATGTAATGCAACTGGATAGTGACTCCTCCAAGCTTCATGGGGTCCCCCAAATTATTAAAAAAATATATTTTGGTTTTAATTTACATGGAAAGGGATAGAAACCCAGAAGTGGAAAGTAAATGAAGATTGAGTCAAGAAAAGTAATGGCTCTTACCCTGGATATTCATACCAGGCTTAAATCTTTGTCACATTATTTGATTACAACGTTTTCTGGATGGACTCCTGGCTGGATTCCTGTCTGCCTGCCTGGAGTGCGCCCAATTGCGCGGTGTGCAGTGGTGACGTCACCCGCATTCCACAGCTTTGAGCCGGGTTCACGCTTCGTGCTGACGTCACTCCCCGCGCCCCCCCCCCCCCCGCACTCTGGACGTGCATCCCGCGAAGCTGCGATAGAGGAGCGAGGTAGAAGAGAGAGATAGAGGAGGAAGGGAGGAAGAGGCAGAGGAATGGAGAGGGGTGGGGAGAGAGTGAAAGGGCGTGAAATGGATAGTGAGGGAAAGTGACAACCAGTGGCAGGATTAAGGAGGGGGCAAGGGAGATTCAGATGGGAAAGGGATGGGTGGGAATAAGGAGAGCGAGGGAGAGAGATGAGAGAAACAGTGAGAGAAAGCGGGAGGGAAGAGGATGAGATGGTGTGGAGAAAGGAGAGAAATATAGAGAGAGGGAGGGAGAGGTAGCAGAGGGGACGGAGGAACAGAGAAACCGATAGAGATAATAAAGCGAGAAATCTAGATAAATTGGAATATGCAGCAGAGAGAAGGCATGGTAAAGGTGAAGAGAGACAGGGCTCAATATAACAATCAGAATTTTTATTTAGACTGGAGGAATCCGTTGAGAAATTACGCATTTTTTAACAGATGTCCGGTATGGGCGGGTCAGAAAAAAAGATCAAAAGTTTTGCGGGCTGGCTAGGAGGGAGGGAAGGACGATCACGTCCAAAGGACTTGCGAGTTTCTAGTTAATGATTAAAAACATACTTCATATTTAACACATCCCTCCTACTTCCCCCAGCAGACGTACCCTCATTCACTCACTCACCAATTATAATGCCACTCGCTCATACCCTAATTTCCCTCCCCCACAACGTTCCTCAAAGCATCAGCAACTCCGCTCCCTCTCACTCGAACCCCGTGTGGGACCCCAACTCGCTTGTTGGTGTTCTTCCGCTACGCTTCTACCCCTCGCGCTCCCCCAATCAGCCCCGCATGTCTCTGTACGCTGTACCTTCCTGCTTTTTTTCCCTACAAAATATATCCGTAAAAAAATATACCTTTTAAGCGTATACTTTGCAACAGAAGTATTTATGAGATGCTATGAGCATGAGTGACGCTGTATAACATGACAGTAACATTATGATAATAACTTCAGAGTGAATGTCACCGCACGGGCGTTGTGTTAAAACACGTGGGAATGGGGACACCACGTCGTGCCATGGCGATGCGCTAGACCAGGGGTCGGGAACCTATGGCTCGCGAGCCAGATGTGGCTCTTTTGATGATTGCATATGGCTCGCAGATAAAACAAAATATTCTCACTTGTTTTAATCCATCCATCGATTTTTCACTGCGCATGTCCTGTTCAGGGCTGCAGGAGCAATTGTCCATTATTTTAATTGGATGATACTGGCCTACGTTTGCCGTTGCTGGGTAAAACAGGTAAACGCCCCCTTTTGAATCAGTCTGAGACTGCGTCTGCTCGGTCATTAGCTCAAAGCTAACCCTTCGACGAAGAAGATGGCGAAAAGAAAAAAAGACGACGAGTATCGTACATTTCAGGACGAATGGACCGAAGAATTCGCCTTTGTGGAGAGAGCGGGTTCTGCGGTGTGTCTAATTTGCAATGACAAAATTACATCGTTGAAACGGTCGAATGTAAAGCGGCACTTCGACACGCGCCACGCTACCTTTGCATCAAAATACCCTGCGGGAGACAGCAGAAAAAAAGCGTGCCAAGAGCTTCTGAGCAGGGTGCAAGCTAGCCAGCAGCAACTCCGCGTATGGACCCGGCAAGGTGACTATAATTCGGCTAGCTTTGCTGGTTCTTTAGCAATAGTGAGGAACGGAAAACCATTCACAGATGGCGAGTATGCTAAAACGTTCATGCTGGATGTAGCCAATGAACTTTTTGATGATCTTCCGAACAAAGACAAGATAATCAAACGGATACAAGACATGCCTCTGTCGGCAAGAACTGTTCATGATCGTACCATCGTGATGGCAAACAAAGTGGAGGAAACGCAAGTGAAGGACATAAATGCAGCGCCGTTCTTTTCTCTGGCTTTGGATGAGTCAACAGACGTGAGCCATTTGTCGCAGTTCAGCGTGATTGCAAGATATGCTGTTGGTGACACACTGCGCGAAGGAAGTCTTGCTGTTCTGCCATTAAAAGGGTCCACAAGAGGTGAGGATTTATTCAAGTCTTTCATGGAGTTTGCTCAAGAAAAAAGTCTACCTATGGATAAACTTCTCTCAGTGTGTACTGATGGTGCTCCGTGTATGGTGGGGAAAAACAAAGGATTTGTGGCGCTTCTCCGTGAACATGAAAATAGACCCATCCTAAGTTTCCATTGCATTATACACCAGGAGGCACTTTGTGCTCAGATGTGTGACAGGCAGTTTGGCAAAGTGATGTCGCTGGTCATTCGTGTGATCAACTTTATTGTTGCCCGAGCCTTAAATGATCGCCAGTTTAAAACACTGCTGGATGAAGTTGTAAATAACTATCCTGGTCTGCTTTTGCACAGCAATGTGCGTTGGTTGTCAAGAGGGAAGGTGCTTAGGCCGTTTTGCGGCTTGCCTGAACGAAATCCGGACTTTCCTTGAAATGAAAGGCGTCGGGCATCCTGAGCTAGCCGACACCGAGTGGCTCCTCAAGTTTTACTATCTCGTAGATCTGACTGAACATCTGAACCAGCTCAACGTGAAAATGCAAGGCATTGGAAATACAGTGTTATCCCTTCAACAAGCTGTATTTGCTTTGAAAACAAGCTGGAGCTTTTCATCACGGATCTTGAAACAGGTCGTTTACTACATTTTGAAAAACTGAGCCAATTTAAAGATGCATGCACAGCAAGTGAGCCCATTCAAACCTTGATCTCCACCAGCTAGCTGGCTGCACATCCAGTCTCCTACAGTCCTTCAAAGCACGCTTTGGAGAATTTCGTGAGCACACTCGTCTTTTTAAGTTCATCACCCATCCAAACGAGTGTTCACTGAACACAGCCGACCTGAATTACATCCCTGGTGTCTCCGTCAGAGATTTTGAAGCAGAAGTGGCTGACCTGAAGGCCTCAGACATGTGGGTGAATAAGTTCAAGTCACTGAATGAAGATTTGGAAAGAATCACACGACAGAAAGCAGAGTTGGCGAGCAAGCACATGTGGACAGAAATGAAAAAACTCCAACCCGAAGACCAGCTGATTCTCAAAACTTGGAACGCGCTTCCTGTCACATACCACACACTGCAGCGTGTGAGTATTGCTGTATTGACCATGTTTGGATCTACGTATGCATGTGAGCAGTCATTCTCACATCTTAAAAACATCAAGTCCAACCTACGATCACGTTTAACGGATGAAAGCCTCAACGCTTGCATGAAGCTTAACCTCACCAAGTACCAACCCAACTACAAAGACATCAGCAAATCCATGCAGCACCAGAAGTCGCATTAATGGTGAGTGTTATAACAACATTATTTAAAAGAATAAATTCAGAGGCTTATTATACTGACATTTAGTTGAATTCACTTTTAAAATATATTATATGGCTCTCACTGAAATAAATTTCCAAATGTTTTGCTTTCATGGCTCTCTTAGTCAAAAAGGTTCCCGACCCCTGCGCTAGACCGTCACTTTGAGGGTTCCTTATTTGTGCCGTGTCTGCGCGCTCGCCCCGGGCTCCAACCATACCGCCGCCTGCGTGCCGTTGCCCTGGCTGCAGTTGGACTGCTGCGCCGCGCCCGTGCAGTTGTAGGCGTCGGACGTCCACTCGGAGAGCCAGAAGTCGATGGCCACCATGGCCGAGTGCTTGAGCAGCTGGGACAGGATGAGCAGCAGCAGCAGAGGAGCGCCGCCCGACGTGAGGTAGCGCAGGAACGCGCCCCACGGCAGCTTGGCACGCTGACGGAATACGGAAGATACGTCGTCCTCATCATCGCTCTCCACCTCCTCCTCTGCGGGCCGGGGTGTCAGAGATCGCACACAGAGCGCACCGCCACGTTAGGTGTCAGAGATCGCACATGGTGCACTACCACACCGGGTGTCAGAGATCGCACACGGTGCACTACCACACCGGGTGTCAGAGATCACACATGGTGCACTACCACACCGGGTGTCAGAGATCACACACGGTGCACTACCACACCGGGTGTCAGACATCACACACGGTGCACTACCACACCGGGTGTCAGAGATCACACACGGTGCACCACCACGCGAGGTGTCAGAGATCACACACGGTGCACTACCACACTGGGTGTCAGACATCACACAGGTTGCACTACCACACCGGGTGTCAGAGATCACACACGGTGCACTACCACACCGGGTGTTAGACATCACACACGGTGCACTACCACACCGGGTGTCAGAGATCACACACGGTGCACTACCACACCGGGTGTCAGAGATCACACATGGTGCACTACCACACCGGGTGTCAGAGATCACACACGGTGCACTACCACACCGGGTGTCAGAGATCTCACACGGTGCACTACCACACCGGGTGTCAGAGATCACACATGGTGCACTACCACACCGGGTGTCAGAGATCACACACGGTGCACTACCACACCGGGTGTCAGACATCACACACAGAGCGCACCACCACGCGAGATGTTAGAGATCACACATGGTGCACTACCACCACGCGAGGTGTTAGAGATCACACACGGTGCACTACCACACCGGGTGTCAGAGATCACACACGGTGCACTACCACACCGGGTGTCAGAGATCACACACGGTGCACTACCACACTGGGTGTTAGACATCACACAGGTTGCACTACCACACCGGGTGTCAGAGATCACCACAGAGCGCACCACCACGCGAGGTGTCAGACATCACACAGGTTGCACTACCACACCGGGTGTCAGACATCACACACAGAGCGCACCACCACGCGAGGTGTCAGACATCACACACGGTGCACTACCACACCGGGTGTCAGAGATCACACACGGTGCACTACCACACCAGGTGTCAGACATTACACATGGTGCACTACCACACCGGGTGTCAGACATCACACACGGTGCACTACCACACCGGGTGTTAGACATCACACACGGTGCACTACCACACCGGGTGTCAGAGATCACACATGGTGCACTACCACACCGGGTGTCAGAGATCACACACGGTGCACTACCCACACCGGGTGTCAGAGATCTCACACGGTGCACTACCACACCGGGTGTCAGAGATCACACATGGTGCACTACCACACCGGGTGTCAGAGATCACACACGGTGCACTACCACACCGGGTGTCAGACATCACACACAGAGCGCACCACCACGCGTGGTGTTAGAGATCACACACGGTGCACTACCACACCGGGTGTCAGACATCACACACGGTGCACTACCACACCGGGTGTCAGAGATCACACACACGGTGCACTACCACACTGGGTGTTAGACATCACACAGGTTGCACTACCACACCGGGTGTCAGAGATCACCACAGAGCGCACCACCACGCGAGGTGTCAGACATCACACAGGTTGCACTACCACACCGGGTGTCAGACATCACACACAGAGCGCACCACCACGCGAGGTGTCAGACATCACACACGGTGCACTACCACACCGGGTGTCAGAGATCACACACGGTGCACTACCACACCGGGTGTCAGAGATCACACACGGTGCACTACCACACCGGGTGTCAGACATCACACAGGTTGCACTACCACACCGGGTGTCAGACATCACACACAGAGCGCACCACCACACGAGGTGTCAGACATCACACACGGTGCACTACCACACCGGGTGTCAGACATCACACACGGTGCACTACCACACCGGGTGTCAGACATCACACACGGTGCACTGCCACACAGGAGAATGCCATCGAGCTCAATTAAACTTGTCAAGTACAATTCGATAGGTTACAAGGAACAGTTGCGTATGTTTTCTGTGGCAGTCGAGGAAGTACTTTGCAGATCGAGAATGGGATTGCAGGAATTTCAAAGAGCAAACGTTCATCTTTTGGCACGAATTTTGGAATGCGTTCATTTTGCACCATTGTTTTTATTTAAATGTTCCGCTATTTTCACTTATAAATTGCAAGGGGAAGGGGAGACAGAGGGAAGGAAAAAAGGTGGAATTGCAACCATGAAAATGTCGATGATAATGGTGATGATGTGCTTGGGGTAAGGCAAGATGGGGTTTTCTGTCACTCGTAAGATCTCCGACTGGTTGACAACGATAGAAAAATCTTCACAGTGTTCCACCACGAAGTGGTTGTAGAAGTCGACGTGTAAGTGTGGACGTTCCCTAATCCCAGCAACGTCTCACCCAACGCACACCCTTTAGTGGAAAAATAATCTCGGGTGGAAACCACTTTCTGTTTGGTGCAAACTGGTTGCATTGCATGGATAAATTAATTTTGAACTTCTTTCATACCGTACATAGCCAACGATGCTAATCAGAGGTGCGGGGGAAGGACAACAAACTTAAGACAAAAAGCAGTTCTAAAGAAATTCGTTTTCAATCTAGATTTTAAAGTACATATCTCCTGCGGCTTATCTAATATCGAAAAGAAAAGCATTCCAGATGGCCGCAGAAGCGCATCTGAAATTGCGCGATGTGGTGACCATCTTTGTTCGATGGCTATCCAAAAGCCGCTGCTGCGAGGATGACCGGAGTTTGCATGATGGTGTATGCTCCTTGACGAGATCAGCAAGGTATTTTGTTTCATTTGTGGGAATAACTTTGCATGTAATGAGTGCGACCTTATCATGCATTCGTTCGGCAACCGAAAGCCGCATTCATGACGGAAACACTTTTAATTTCCACCACTAGTTTATATGAATACGCCCGTTTGATATTGTATAAAAAAATATAATTAAGCCTGAATTCTTGTCTGGATTCCTGGCTGGCGCACGCCCAAGCTTGCGTGCGAGGTGGAGACGTCACTAGGCACATCCCCACGTGTCCCACAGCATTGAGCAGGGTTCGTCCGTCGCGATGATGTCACGACTCCCCCCACCCTCCACCCCGACCGCGTGTATCCCACACAAATGTGTAGGTAGTCAGTGCTATCATAGAAGATAAGAAAAAGGTTTTGCTTGCTGCTGACTGACTTACTGGCAGGAAGGAGGGAGGGAGGGAGGGACACGTCCTAAGGGCTGCTTATGCACAAAAAAAATATTCGGCAGAAAATCAGGTCAGGGGCAAAGACGTCAATCCGTGGCCATGTTTTTCCTTTAAATATTAAACCTTTGGGATTGCATTCTATCGGTATCGTAACAATGTGCGCACTACGCGTACAACGCCCGTGTCCCACCACAACCAATACACAACGCGTGATGACTACGTTCGGAGGGGGCGGAGCGTGATGGGCCCCGAGGGCTGGAGTGCGAGCGGCCGCTGGGGGTAGGTACCGCACCTTCCTCCTCCTCCTCGTCCTGCTGGGTTTTGAGCTGGGCCTCGCGCGAGTACATCGCCCGCCGGAGGTTCTTGCGCTCCAGCGCCGTCTTGCTCTCGGATATCGTTTCCTGCAGCGGAAGCGACACCAACGCCCAGTTCATTTGAGGTCTGCAATGACATTTGCTTACACCTGGCTAAGACCTCGAACGCAAGCATGGATACTTCTGTGGGTTAAGCTTCTGCTATTGGACAAAGAAAGAAATGAATGTCTGGGCTGAAAGGAAGATGCCCTGGTGCTGAACTGGACAGGGAGAAGAATGGACGTCTGCATGTGAAGTGGCAGCATGAAAATGTCATTTTATTGCGGATTTAGTCACGCAATTTTTTTGTCCGCAACAAAAGTGTTGAAGGTAGGACGTGCTTTGTGAATGGCTGCACGAAGGAACCTTCTCAAACTCCTGGTCCTGCCGGTTCATGAGCGTCTTCCAGTGCTCGTACAACTCGGGGTCGTTGTTCTGGATGTCCTTGAGGGTGCCCTCCCGAAGCACGGTCCCGTCCTTCATGGCGATTATCTGAAAATTCATAGAATGGAGGATGGGGGACGAGCAATGAACAGGTCATTGTGAAGTTTACATCCAGGCAGTTTCCTTATCATTCGTACATTTTAAACACGAATTTAATAACTGTAATATAGTAATACATCTGTGCACAGGAAAGGCTCACTGAGTAACGAGCAAAAACATCTGAAGAGGTTCCTGCTCAGAGCGTTTGTCCAGATGCAATCCACGCACTCTGCCTGTGAGAAACCTTACCACAAAAACCACCTGCACCGGTGCCGGCAAGTGCGAACCAAAAACGCACACGCCACGCCGTCGCACACCACCGGTCTCCCGCAGCAGCTCCCACAATTCCGAATCCTCCTGCCGACGGCTCGTGCAGCGCCCCTCTACGGCGGGGTCACCGCCTGCCCCTCCGGCGAGGATCCCGGCCACGAGACAAGGAACGGGGCAGCGGCGGTGCCAGGACACGGCGGAAGGGGGTGGCGGGCGCGGCTCCTACCCAGTCGGCGTGCGGCAGGTACTGCAGCTTGTGCGTGACGAGCACCACGGTGCGCTTGTCGTCACGCAGCAGCTTCAGGATTCCCTCCTGCATGAGGTGGTCGCTCAGGTGCACGTCCAGCGCCGAGAATGGGTCATCCTGAATGGGTGGGAGCGGAGGGAGGGTGGGAGGGCGGGCGAGTCAACGCTGTTGGAAATGGTCGCCAGCGGCACGCGAGTCGGCCGAGGGACTCCTCTTCTCCCAGGTAAGTGCTCCCTCTGGCTCTGTCCGCAAACATCCCCACCGGGCCCAGCGGGGTTGGCTCATGGCTCCGGTTTGGTGATATAAAGGTGCAGCCTTGTCATTGATTGTTCGTGCACGTGTGCATGTGTGTGTTGAACTTCTTTCGCACCGTATGTAGCCAACCGTGCTAGCCGGAGGTGCAGGGGGAAGCACAACAAACTAAACATAAAAAAGCTATTCTCAAGAAACGAGTTTTCAATTAAGATTTAAAAGTGCATAACTCCAGTGGCTTCCACTAGACCAAGCTCTAGAGAGACCCACTCGAGGATATTTGTTCTGCTCTCTCACTCTCTTCGGACGTCTAGGAGGAAGGGGAAATATCCACGCTTGATCTCAACACACACGACCCGCCAATAATCTAACTGCGGTGTACCCATTTATACTGCTGGGTGGAGAGAAGCCGGAGTGTTTAAAAAACTCGCCCCATTGTTTCACCCGCCACACCAGGATATTAAATCGTATCTTACTTTGATAAAACAAACATTACGAGATCTTAAGTCGATTGCCGATCATACCGAATCAAAATACGAAACGCTTCACCATGTAAGGTTTGGGTTGCTCACAATTTTTCTCAAATCACAGCTCTCCTGTGTGTGTTTAAACTAACGCGTAAGAATATGAACTCCACTTAGCCTCTGTGGGCAACCTGCGGCTCACGGGCCACCCGTGTTCTGTGAAGCCTCTCGTGGTGTCCATATCTCGGTGTCTCTATGGCGACGCGTGGGGTCATGATCTCAGTGTCTCTATGGCGACGCGTGGTGTCCTGATCTCAGTGTCTCTATGGCGACGCGTGGTGTCATGATCTCAGTGTCTCTATGGCGACGCGTGGGGTCATCTCAGTGTCTCTATGGCGACGCGTGGGGTTATGATCTCAGTGTCTCTATGGCAACGCGTGGGGTCATGATCTCAGTGTCTCTATGGCAACGCGTGGGGTCATGATCTCAGTGTCTCTATGGCGACGCGTGGGGTCATGATCTCAGTGTCTCTATGGCGACGCGTGAGGTCATGATCTCAGTGTCTCTATGGCGACGCGTGGGGTCATGATCTCAGTGTCTCTATGGCGACGCGTGGGGTCATGATCTCAGTGTCTCTATGGCGACGCGTGGGGTCATGATCTCAGTGTCTCTATGGCGACGCGTGGTGTCCGGATTAGTGCCCGAAGACGATGTCAAGATTGTGGAGGAGTATTCAGGTTGCCCAACTCGGTGGCTAGGAGATGTTAACTACCTCACCTTGTATACAGAGAGTCGTGGGTTCGATCACAACCCTGACACCTGTATATTTGGAGTTTGTGTCTCTCTCTCTCCCCGTGGTAATTTGGATTTTTCTCCGGGTCCTCTGGTTTTTCCGTCCACATATAGAATCCAGGTGCGTTTCGAGTATTTGGCAGCTATAAATTTCGACGTGAGAAGCCACTTCGTTGAGGTATCATTTGTGGCCAGGTCGCTTCTGAAAAAGAGCAATATAGCTGAGTGGGCCTTAGCTGGTAAAAAAAATAAATTGTTTATAGTCCAGATTTCCCATCACTGCTGTATGAGGTAGATGATCATGGAGTCAATATATAAACTGTGAATAGCAGTAGTTCTTCTCAATTCACTACCAGTGGTTTACACGTGCCCTTTAATGACAGCTTGTTTATGTGAGTATGTATGTATGTTGAACTTCTTTTGCACCGTACAGAGCCAACTGTGACTAATCGGGGGGTGCGGGGGGGATAGGACAACAAGCTAAACCAATAGAGCGACGGAGCCTATCGATCAGCTGGGCGTCACAGCAGGTCACAGATGGCGAGACGCAGCCATGCCTGTAAAGGAGAAGGCGGGAGGAGCGGGCAGTGCTGGCGCTCACCAGGAACACCATGTTGGTCTCCTGGTAGATGGCCCGGGCCACGCTGATTCGCTGCCGTTGTCCTCCGCTGAGGTTGATGCCCTGCAGAGGGGTGGCGGCGATGCATGTGGGAAACATGGAGTCAAAGGTACAGGAGGAAGCATTCAGAAACGGCTACAGTCCTGAGAAAGGGGGAAGCGCTAAACGTTTTGGAATCGTACACAAACCTTGCGTGATGCAGAGTTGAGCATCGACACAGAGTTGACCAATTTGTGCGATTCCAGAAACGTGTCCAACACTGCCCAGCTTCCTCTACACAGAGCTCATCAGTGACCCCACCACCACACTGCACAGCTTCCTCTACACAGAGCTCATCAGTGACCCCACCACCACACTGCACAGCTTCCTCTACACACAGCTCATCAGTGTCCCCACCACCACACTACCCAGCTTCCTCTACACACAGATCATCAGTGACCCCACCACCACACTGCACAGCTTCCTCTACACACAGCTCATCAGTGACCCCACCACCACACTACCCAGCTTCCTCTACACAGAAATAATCAGTGACCCCACCACCACACTACCCACCTTCCTCTACACAGAGCTCATCAGTGACCCCACCACCACACTACCCACCGTCCTCTACACACAGCTCATCAGTGACCCCACCACCACACTACCCACCTTCCTCTACACAGAGCTCATCAGTGACCCCACCACCACACTAACCCACCTTCCTCTACAACACATCTCATCAGTGACCCCACCACCACACTGCACAGCCTCCTCCACACACAGCTCATCAGTGACCCCAACACCACACTGCACAGCTTCCTCTACACACAGCTCATCAGTGACCCCACCACCACACTGCACAGCTTCCTCTACACACAGATCATCAGTGACCCCACCACCACACTGCACAGCTTCCTCTACACAGATCATCAGTGACCCCACCACCACACTACCCACCTTCCTCTACACACAGCTCATCAGTGACCCCACCACCACACTGCACAGCTTCCTCTACACACAGCTCATCAGTGACCCCACAACCACACTACCCAGCTTCCTCTACACACAGCTCATCAGTGACCCCACCACCACACTGCACAGCTTCCTCTACACACAGATCATCAGCGAACCCACAACCACACTGCACAGCTTCCTCTAGACAGAGCTCATCAGTGACCCCAACAACACTCTGCAATTCACCAACTCTCAGACAAAGCAATGAATGGTTAAATATCTTTGAACTAAACCTCTGATAGCTAGTTGCTCTTCATTGGCCGTACACAATCATCATCATCATCACCACGATAAACTGTGAAATATGCGTACGTTTGGAGGCTGGAACAAAAGTATCAAAATGTGTTCAGGCTTTGACATGCGTCCTGGCACATCATACACCATGACAAACGCTTTTTATGTATTTCTTCTTTCTGCAGTTATTTCAACAAACGTATGAACTGGCAAGTTTTTTTTATTATCACTTTAGGCTTCTATATATAAAAATAAGACTATAATATGTGTAGATAATAGACAAATCAATCTCCATTCAGGCACATTACTTTCACGTGTATTTGTTATGAGACACGGTGAGAAATACGGAGTTCCAGGATGCAGAAGGGAAAAAGTCATTTCCAAAAGGTAGTGAATACTGAAGAGACGATTGAAAATGCACCCCAGAAACTTTTATACAGCAGTCAAAATGTTGAAATCAGGTCACCCAGTAACAGCTTCTGGTGAGTACTGCTGAGATGATGAATAGGGAATAATATGAATAATCCAATTGAACTCAATTATCAAATAAAGCTGAAAGGGGTAAACAGCATTTGCCACAGGATGGGAAATTGCATCACTAAATTACGATGGACAAGTAACACATCAGGGAAATATTTACCGAAAGTTTCGTTGGCTTTTTATACCAATTATCACCCAATTGTGATGCGATCGGTGTCACACCATGCAACACAGACATTCCCGCTCGCAATTCCCACAGTGAGCCTTACACCATCTCGTGTTACAGAACAACCCACGGAAGTTGACGTCAAAACATCATTCTCGAGTCCCTTCTGTCAGCTTCATTATCCACACGAGCAGCACACCTTGTATACGCAACGCAAAGAGCGTCCACTGCGTGGCAATCGCTAAGCAATTCAGAATAACTATGAATATGATAAGGATGACACCAAAATACATACACATTTCATGTTACTCACAATGAACTTTGGTTCAATGCAATAGGCCAGGGCTGGTGCTAGGTGGGTGCCCGGGGTGGGCCCTGGACCATCAATGTCCTGCTGGCCCACCCAAGTTCTCTCCACCTAGCAGTGAATCACCATTACGGTGGCGGCTCCACACAGCAGCTCGACGGGACCCCCACCCCACCCCCCACATCTGACAGCACCTGCAGCTGGGCCTGAATAAAGCTTTAATCTGATCTTAATGAATCACGTGGTAATACACTTTACCCTGCAGGAGAATTGGTTAGGCACGCACTTTGTAATGATTGTGCAAATGGTGGTAGTACACTGACCCGCTCTCCGATCATCGTCTGGTCTCCCTGTGGCAGGATATCAATGTCTGGCTGAAGAGAGCAGGCGTCAATCACTGCAATGTACCTGTTTGAACAAACGAGGCACCAATTGTAAGGTACAACACGTGTGCCCTGCATGGAACAATCAGGCACGCAAGCACGCACACATTCACACAGAGGAACGCATACTCATATACTCACACACTAAAGCACATACAAAACCAACTGCCGTTCACCATTAAGTGGCAGTGACGTCACCGCAGTGCCTGTGCTAGGCGAAGTGCACTGTGAGGCCACGTGAAGTGTCGAAGGCTCACTGACAGGAGGTCACGGTATAGACCCAGGTGCCATGGGTTGACTGACGGAGATGACTGGCAGATGCACCATCTGTGCTCTCTACTAGGCCAAGTTTCTCCGCTTTAGTCACCTGACGCTCTGCTCGTTGTTCTGAGCGTTGCTCCTCTGCCCTCGGCTGTTGCTGGAGGGAGACTGCCTCCAACTGTCCAGTAGCATCCTTAACTTGCCTTCTCCACAGAGGCAATCTTAACACCAATGTACAAGTCATTGGCAAGTCCAATCAGCCCATACATCCTTCTGTACCAAATCAGTCCATCTGCCGTCTAGTCCAAACCACACCAATTTAGCCCCCTCTATCCAGCCAAACAGAAGCAACTTCGACATGCGGTGGCTGGGCATGTTGGCTACATGACCCAGCCAACGCATCCTCGCCTTCCGGAGAAACACACTGATGAGACTGTGTCCAGATCTTTCAAGGATCTGTGAGCGCCTCACAATCCAGTCTGGTTAAACCCAGGATGGCTCGTAGACAGGCCATCTTGAATGTTTCAAACCGGCGCAGATGTTCCTTTAAAGGGCTCCACATTTCACAAGCATCGAGAAGGGAAAGCATTACTGTGGCCGAGAAGACCCGTGACTTCATATGAAGTTATAGCCCCAGTTGATTCACACAGTCTTACGCAGCTGATGAATATATTATTGCGCTCAACTTATTTGGTTTGACATCTCCGCTGCCTGTCCAGAGTTGGTCATACGCACACTTCCCAGATACGGAAACTTCCTCCACTCTCTGCAACAACTGTCTCCAAAACGAATGGGGAGTGGTGGGGGTGGAGTGTTTTATGACACAAAATACCCAGGCAGGTGTTTTGTTTATGTGGGGCTGATGGTAAGGCCCCATTATTAGTGACACTTTCCAGGTTCAGCAGCCAGTCTCCAACTCCATCTTAGAGTGAGGCAGCAATTACCAGATCATTAGCATATGTAACATGGTTGACCATTAGTAAGCCCTTAACCGCATCCAGGCATTGATCAGCCTCCTATTGTATCTATACCAGATAAACATTCCTCTGTTACAGCCGCGGAAAGCTTCTCAAACCACATGGATTGCTCTTGAAACTTAAAATAATGTAGGAGCCAGATAACATCCCTGTCGAACCCTGGGGTGTACAGGGAATGGCACTGATTCCCGACGACGCAGCTTTACCTGGGCCTGCCCAACATCATGAAAGTCTTTAATGATTGAGAGTAGAGGGTCAGAGACCTCCAAAGCATGAACAGTAACCCAGAGCCCTGGCCTATTGATTGTATAATAGGCATTTACGTGGTCGATAAAGCAAAGATGTAGGTCCTTTTGAAATTTACTACACCTCTGCTGCAGCAGATGGACAGAAAATGTTATATAGGACAGCCTGAAAAAAATCGATACCCTCCGTCAGCAGTTCACTTGGGAGATCATCTCTGCCTCGCACTTTTCCTGGTCTCAGACTCTGGATTGCTCTTGAAACTTCCTCAACAGATGGCACATCCGCTAGCCACTCACAGAGGGTGGCTACTTCCTCCAATATTCGCACATTCACGTGCACACTCTTAAGATTAACAAAGACAGATATCCCCAGTATAGCCTTAACAGACTGTTGGAGCAAGTGCTGTTAGCAAGTACCTATGAAGGCCGGCACGGCTCATGAGGTGGATGGCCAGCACCACAGTTACGGACACACGCTCACACACAGTTACGGACACACCGACACACAACGGCTCAAACGCACACACATATACTTCTGGTCTAGTCACTGCACAATTAGATTGGCATCCTTCAAGAAACACCCCATCATGTCTCATCCATTACATTAATCTCTAGCCATATGAAGTTAAAGGAACAGCCCTGAAATCTGCTCATGCCACTTTTGGATGGACTTCCACCTTGCGAGAGGCGGGAGTACCCTGCGCTTTAGCACATCGCACGTGATCTGCCAATCAACGTTGGGGAACTGTGGTGGAAGCAACATATTTTCAGGTAAAAAAAAAACAACGAAAGTCCAGAGGCAGGGAAATTCAAAGAAACTATCACCATTATTTCACTTGCTGTGCCAGGAGATTGAACTGAACCAGCAACTTATAGATTGCAAGTAAATCCAGCATGTTAACCCACTGTAGTTATTTAATAAACTACGAAAGTCTATTTTCATTTAAACCAGGGAAGGCTCACTGAGCTATACAGCTTTTTTTCAGAAGCGACCTGGCCATAAATGATAGCTCAATGAAGTGGCTTTTCACGTGGAAATTTATAGCAGCCAAAATACTCTGAACGCATGTTCCTAAATGTGGAAGAAAAAATCAGAGGACCGGGGAGAAAAATCCACGTGACCACGGGGAGAACATGAAAACTCCATATATACAGGCATCAGGGTCGGCATCGAATCCACAACCTCCTGTACACCAGGCGAGCTTGTTAAAATATCGCCACCATGGCATTAAACACGCCCACACGTGAGCACCAGCGCAGTGTTGATAACAGAGCGTCACGTGGTGAGCTATGCCGTGCTCACCGCGTGACGCCGTGCTCACCGCGTGACGCCGTGCTCACCGCTGCTTGATGAACGGGCTGCCGAAGGTGATGTTCTCCTCCACAGTGGCATTGAGGAGCCACGGCTTCTGCGCTGCATACGCGACTGGACCCCTCTTGCGGCTGCCACAATGAGAGGAGCAGATGGAGGGCACGAGAGGCGAACACGAAGAGCATACTGAGCAGTCTAAGGCAATACTATTACATAGTGTGAATATATATATCAATGTATATATGCAGTATATAAATGATATGCTGTGCGTGTGTATATATTTATCACACGACACTTAGTAATGCTTTACATTTATTTTATGAAGTAAAACATTAAATTGATGTTTGAATCCAAATAATGCAGACTTAAGCCAAGAGAAGTCAATTGTTAAGTCAGCATATATGTGAACTTGCTTGTGTATATACCGCAGTGTATAAACTGTAGTGTCTGGTCCCTCTCCTCAAAGTGTCTCCAACGTTAACCAGGGACTTGGGGAGGTGCCTGCCTCAGCTGCTGGTCACTTTGAGCCCGTGGAGGAAATTACACATTACCATGGCGAGAGCTAACCTCTATGCAGGACCACTGTTGGATTACTCACAGAGTGGTAACCAATGTTATTAATTCCCCAGGGTTGACCAAGTTGACCCCGTAAGTTTATGCCCACAACGTTCCCACTGAGACGAGCACTCTGGGACAGCACCGCCACCAGCCAGCGTGCCGTGCAAAAGGTAAAGGTGCAGCCTTGTAATCTCTTGCTCATGCCACTGCTGGCGGAAGGGTCTATCACTCAGGGCGAACTTTAGAGAAACCATCTGTATGGTATATGTTGGCCTACTCTTCCATTCTTGGCCAGACGTTTTTTGGGCAAAGCGTGAGTTTCCTCACCACACAGAACTTTTCTATTAAATAACTGGTGCACCCATTTATACTGTTGGGTGGACAGAGTTCGCAGAGATTTAAGAGACTCGCTAATTGTTTCCAATTGCTGCGCTGGGAGATTGGACAAAACCCGGCGACCCTCTTGGATTGCAAGTCCAGCGTGTTAATAACCATTACACTATGGTAATCAATATTCGCCCAGGTGCATCATGATAACCAACTCTTCAATATCCTCCCTTTCCATGAGTAGTGGCGTGGTTGTTTAGAGTGTGGAGGTTCCCTTACCCAGGCAAAGGCTTTAATGACTGGCCAATAACTGTCAGCAGAAATCTGACGCCTGCAAGCAATCTTCTTCTTTCGTACGGCTGATGTAGATGCAGAGCAACAACTACAATTTCACAATCAGGTGGTCAACCCAAATGACTGCAACAGGAGCCAGTGGATTATATCGCTGTGATGGCCCCTTCGTATTTGTGGATCGAGTGTTGCGTCGTTATACGTTGTATGGTCTGTTCTGGATGACCAGGGTCCCACACTGGGGAGTTTTTTTTATTTTCCAATTGTGCATCAGGTATCCGCATCTGCCATGGGTTGTGCGGATGCGGTTTGGGGTGGACCATGAGCTTTGTGCAAGTCATATCCAGGTATCTTCTGCGTTGGGTCTTTCACAAGGTGTTTGTTTGGGAATTATTTTGAACTCCATTCAGCTTTACGAAGCTTCATCGCGGTTGAACTCGCATTGTTGAAAGGTTATGCGCATGGGTACAAAAGGGCTTACGTGACTTCAAGCGATGACAAGGGACGTTATTGAGGTCCTAATGAATAGAGAGGCGACTGTTTTCCTCAAGTCACAAGACTTTCCGGAGGGTCGCAGCGTCGTGGCGGATTGGTGGGGGAAAGATGTGGGACAGCACGGGCAGCCCGGGAGTTGTGGTTAACTTGATTTTACTGGCTCTGCAGTGGTTTGCGAAAGCTGCCTGACTTGTCTCTGAACACCGAGCTCAACGTCTTTGCGGCCCCATGCCAGATTAATCCTGGTTGCACTGCTATACTGAATGGGCCCGCTTTAGCATGGTTGGATACGTACGGTGCGAAAAAAGATCAACATACACACACACACGCATATTCGCCATGCACAGTCAAATATAATTCGGCTGGACAGATGAGCCACACGGGGGGGGGGGGGGGGGACATGACATAATCGACTGCTTGAGTGGTATCGTCATTTGTGAAAAAGTGGGGACAATGTGGGTATACAATGGATATGGCACAGGCTAATGAACATGTACTCTTTGGCTCTTTCGGTAAAGTCACGTAGAAATAAATAAAATTAAATAATAATAGAATACGACGTTTCGATTGCAACACAAGCAACCATAATGTGTGTCTCCGTGTCTATGTTTTGTCTCTCTCTCAAATTTTGCAATCTTTGGAAGAACGTAATCAACCAGGTGGGCTGTTGACTGTTGTGTTGGCCGACTCTCTGTGTTGTAGTGCATTATATTTCCGAGTTTACTAGGTTTGTTTTCTCATTCATTTCTACCTGATGATGGTTGCTTGTGTTGCAATTGAAACGTCGCATTCTATTATTTTATTTTATTTCTTTATACGTGACTTTTCCGAAAGAACCAAAGAGTAATTCCTGCAGTCACGAAAGCTTCGACACTAGTTTAATGACATGTAGTTCAAAGCAATGCACAGGGACTTGCCCGAAGAGTGCACTTGCTTTCGGCTTGCACTGTGTCAGAGCTATCCCCTGTGGAGGTCGGCAATTAATGGCGTTGGGCTGCCCTCCAATACCACAATGTGGTGGAGCAACCTCCGCTACAATGAGAAGAGTGCCAAGCAGCCAAAGTACAGTGAGATAGCTCTCAACACCTCTGCCAGTGAGCGTTCGCTATTTGTGGCCTTGTGGTGCCACGAGTCCCAATCACAGGCACTTGAGCCATGCCACCACCACTGACAGATGGTGGCGGCTGCTGCTGCTGCTGTTCTTGCCTGAGTACATCAGTCAAAACACTTCATAGCTAGTCAAGCAAATAGCTGCTGATAAGATATGTTTTAATGGACCACAGCAACTTCTCTGTATGAAGACGAGAACTAAACTATTTTTTTTTATTTTAGCAGGTAAGGCCCACTGAGCTATACAGCTCTTTTTTCAGAAGCGACCTGGCCACAAATGATAGGTCAACGAAGTGACCTATCATTTATAGCTCCACTAAGTGGCTTATCATCTGCAAATTTATCACAGCCAAATACTTTAAACGCATGTTTCTATGTGTAGAAGGAAAAACCGGAGGGCTGGGAGAAAAATCCACGCGACCATGGGGAGAACATGCAAACTCCAAATATACAGGCGTCAGGGTCAGGATCAAACCCACGACCTCTTGCATACCAGGTGAGGGAGTTAACATCTCGACACCGTGGCGCCCATATGACCGTGTTTACTCCAACCCCTAGCAGCCGGAAGGATCGTGGATTCCAGCCGGCTCGAATGACTAAGATTCACATTCTGTTGATTCTTTCATGGCAGAAGCCATGCTATAATCCCGTTAAATAGAAAGGTTTCATCATTGGAATCACCCACAGAAGAATCACGGTTCTTGCGAGAATAAGGAATCTCTAATGCAGTGGTTCTCAGACGGGGGTACGCGGACCCCTGGGGGTACGTGGCAATGTTCCAGGGGGTACGTGACGCGATTTATTAATGTGTGGAATTACATCATACGTGAGAGTCATTGAATAATCACGAATGAATCTGCCAATATAAAATAACTACGATATAATGTTAATCCATATGGTAACCTACAACGATATAGAAGACCTTTCTAAACTCATTGATCGTACCAATGTGGTTACCAAGAGTAACCGGGCGAGTGCAAACAAACTACGTCACGCTTGCAAAGCGTCCTTTGAATTTGTTTGATTCGCTTGCAGTTACGAGCTAGTTAGGATAACTCACGAAATGGAAAATTGGTTAAAATATTAATGTTCATTATTCATGCATTTATTTCTCAGAAACATGTTGGGTCAGGTAAGGGGGGTACCCGGTTGAAACAAAATTCAACAAGGGGTACATGAGCCAAACAAGGTTGAGAACCACTGCTCTAATGGACATGAAGTGATATCGTACCACCCACGTCATGGAAACCTGGGAACAGATTGGGGAGGTTCCAGCATGCCGTGTGAAGTGAGCCCTGGGTCATTGCGCTCAACCACAGGTCTGCTTCTCCACACTCCGCATTGGGATAGAATTGCAAAACACGACTTTTCATCTGCAATGGATTAAAAAAACGACATGCCATGGTCGGTAGACATTATGATACTGAAACAAATAGTATTATCTGTGATGCATCTTGTATTCAGTGTGTACAGCAATCACTTTAGACCTTTTTTCCTCGGTATAACCGAGTCATGCCGGGGCCATGCCGAGCCATCCCGGCACAACTGGGGAGGCACCAAGTTATCTAGACAAAGATCTCTCGTAGAGTCTACAACATACTGTTGGGGCGAGTGCTGCTAACGAGACGCACCAATGAGTGCCGATTACCATAGTTGGCTACATACGGTGCGAAAGAAGTTCAGCATAAATACATACACGAGGAGGTGAGTGGCCAGCACCACGCCCGGCCACCTCTGTCTCCCCAGTGGTGATGTTTACACACCACACCAGGTACTCATTTGAGGCTAAGTAGACCTAAGGGAGGCCAAGGACCGGTTCAAATAATCGTCGCTGGTGTTGGCCGTGAGCGGGAATCGAACTCAGGTCCCTGGCTTCATAGCGCAGTGCGCTAACCGCTGGGCCACCGCTCCCCCCAACAAAGATATTTACCCACTGCAGAATGAGCAACTCAAGATTTACCCTACCTCTGGCCCTGGGCCAGATTCAGACGTCTTCGTGTGAGGCCAGGGTTTTCACGGTTGTGTTATGGCCCGGCATGGCACATAATCCGGTACAAAAACACCCCTATCAAGAGGTACCATGGGCTGACTCGGATGTTCCAGTGGAGGGGTGCGATTACAGAATGTTCGTTTCAGATGAAAATCGATTTGCAATAAATACAAGGTACAAGATATGCAGCGTTGCCCGTATTTTTGTTGTTCAAGAAATATGTGCTGATCATTGGCCTCTGCAACGTTGTGGCTGGATGCTTGTGTGAGTGGGAACTTTGAATGCGTCCGATCCATTAGTGGAAGACGCTTCATAGCCGGATCAAGGACTTCGTGGTGGTGCTCCAGTGTATGGAGTCCCAGGTTCAGCCCTGCCCGAAGAATGACCGTTGCTCATCTGCGTGAATGGGCAAATCGGTCTCCAAAAACGGGGGCCAAAGACCACGGCAACGATGGACGGACAGACAGAAGAATGGGCATGCACATGCACGTTCCGATGCACAAGCACAGGGTTATGGAGGGTGGCGCTGAAGCGCGGTGGCGGTACCTGTCTCTCTCCTCAGAGGAGCCGTCGCAATCCAGGGGGCTGCATGTAACATCCAAGTGCGTGTTAAGGTCAACGCTTCAGTGATGCGCCGATGCAAATGGCAGGCTTGGGCATGGGCACAACCTGCTGCTACTGCTGCTGCTGCTGCTGCATTCAGAAGCGGTGCATTTGGGCGATTCCCTCTGGGCCCTGCCTCACGTCCGTAACTTGTGTGGTGTCCAGTGAGGGCACAGCAGAGGGCACGTGGCTCGACCCCAAAGCGACGGCTTTGGGGTCGAGCGTACCTCCAACCCTCTTCTCTTATTCAATCCAAACCCATTCCCCCTTTTATCCCCACCCCTCTCAAACTCGGACGACATCTACGTTTATTTAAACAAATTATTTGGTGGTGGTGATGCTGTTGTTTGCATTGGCGGTGGTGCACAAGCATAGCTAGCAAAACACTCTTCAACACGTTCATCAAGAACACTGTGGCCTTAAATGAAAAGTATATAATATGTATACTGTACTTACACCTTTCCTTTTAAGGCTACAGTGTTATTGATGAACATGTTGAGTTTATTGTTAGCAGTGCTTGTGCACCACTGCCAACGAAGCAACAGCAGCATCACCAAATAATGTTTAAATAAACGTAGACATTTAAATAAACGCAGATATATGTAGTATGTAATGTCTAAACTGCGCCTATACTTTTTCTTTAAGTCCACTGTGATATTGACGAATGTTGTCAAATAAAAGCTGTTAAAAGATACTCTTTCAGGATAGCCTGTAGTGAGGGAGGGTGTCGAGTTTTGATTTGATATTTTTACTTCGAAAACCTTGCATCTTGACAGTTGCTACTTTGTGTAGGAATTACACAATAGTCTGTGGGTATGTGCATGCTCATACGGAAATTGAGTCAAACGTTTTTTGATAATTTCTGTTTCATATTGGGTGCACCGACATCTTGAGAATCAATCTCAACACCACCCAGTGCCACCCGCTGCTGCTATCGCCACTTGACCGATGCAAGACATAATGGTTTCCAGTTTATTTTGTCAAACCAGGTGAGACCAGGATCGTATCATTTGCAAGAGTGACCTGGGGCCTTAGTTTGTCAGTTAGAGGCAATCATTACTGTGCATCATCGCAATTAAGTAATTGCTTGGTAATTGTATTAATTGGCTAATTTAGGCCCTGATGCCAGTACACAATGGCCTACCCTTGCAAATGACGTCAGGGGATCGTTAACGTCGACTGTGAAGCAGACAGTGTGTAGTATTACTATGTATTTATTTTTATTTTACCAGGTAAGGCCCGCTGAGCTATAGATCTCTTTTTCAGAAGTGACCTGGCCACACATGATAGCTCAACCAAGTGACCTATCATTTGTAGCAGGCAAATACTCTAAACGCACGTTGACTCTAAATGTGGAAGGAGAAACCGGTGAAGCCAGAGAAAATCCACGCAACCACGGGGGGAGAGAGAGAGAGACACGCAAACTCCTAATATACAGCAGCAGGCGCCAGGGTCGGGATCGAACCCACCACCCTCCTGCATACCAGGCGAGGTAGTTAACATCTCGGCACCACGGCACCCCTAATAATCAGGGCAGCCGTTTGATTTGAACCGTGAACCTCTCCAAACGTGGCCAAGACACTACGGGTGGGCCATGTCAATGCCCTTGACACTGCCAAGCGTAGCGGTAGCGCACTGCACTCTGAATCCAGCGTCCTGAGTTCAATCTGCGGCCATTGCAAACATCAGTTGCGAGTAACATCTGAACGGCACTCAGTCCCCCCACCCTCCACAACGACACCAACCCATTCCGACCAGTTTGATGAAGCATGATGAAACAACCCACGTGACTGTAATGGTGCAGGGAAGCCTTCAGCAGTGAAATGAGAACAGTAAGAAAAATATAAATTCATGAATTAAAGTATATATATAAAACTTAACACTAAAAATTGCCGTGAAAAGTATATTTCACGAGCTTGAATTTTTCCGATCTTATCTATGCTAGTTTAACACATAGGCTTTCGCGACCAATATTATCCATAATACATAATTTGTGGGTTAGATCGCGTAAATATGAATATAAATGTGTCATTAAACCCGCCACCACCCGACACAGCCAATTAGTAAGGTTTGTCATGTAAACAGAACATGCCAATTCGTTACTAGTACAGCACACAGAGAATAAATCCACAACATTTACAATCTAATTACGACGTTTCGCCAGTAATTACAACTAGCATCATCATCCGTAATTACAGGCGAAACGTCGTACACAGATTGTAAATGTTGTGGATTTACTCTCCAACACACAACCGGTTAGTGCTGTACTAGTAACGAATTGGCCACGTTCTGTTTACGTGACAAACCTTACTAGTTGGCTGTGTCGGGTGGTGGCGGGTTTAACGACCTATCTCTGCTGCTGCCAGGCGTTCGGGCCGGAAGTATCGTGACAAAGCCGAGCGCTATAGCCCAGTGCCAGCGAGTGCACAGCAGTAGATGTGGTGGGAGCTGTGCAATGTGCGCGGTGATGTTTGCAGTACCTCCTTCGCCCATCTGGTGTGGAAGGGCTCCCCACCCGGCTAAAAAAGCAGAAAGAACACAGCATTACAAGACGTGCCCACATCACAGCCTTGTGTGTGGTCAGCTGCTGTTGCATGGGATTTGTATTCCAAATGCAGAAGACGTGTAAACTGGGCATTACTCCATCCCTCTGTAGCCACAGGCGCGTCCTTGCGGTCACCTGTTCCAGTTGACGGCTCCTGACATGGTCTGCATCTCACCAAGGGTGGCCAGCAGCAGTGACGACTTCCCACATCCAACCTGGCCCACGATCATCGTCATCTGCCCTGGGGATGAGTGGGGTAGGCGGAGTGGCGGAGAGATTGGAGTAGTGGTGGTGAGGGAGGGGGTGGTAATACTGTAGGTAGGGATGAGTCCGCCAGGTCAGGTGGTGGAGAGAGTGGCGTAGTGGTTGTCAGGGCAGGGGGGGAAGGGGGATATGGCAGTGTGGGGATGAGCGGAGATGTGGGGAAGTTCTCAGTTGATAGATGGGAAGCATACTCTTTGGTTCTATTCGGTGAAGTCACGTAGGTGACTGCAGTCACGAAAGCTTCAAATCTAGAGATGGGAAGCATGTTTGGAGGATGGAGAAAATGGAAGAGGGGAGCAACAGAAGCTAGGAATAATGTGAGCGAACAGACTTCGCACATCCACTATTATGTGAACGAATAAATGGAAGGAAACACAAACTGAAAAAAATAGATTGTGTTGCAGTAACAACCATCGTATGATAGTTATCATGCTGTCACTGAGGACTTGTACAAGACCTTCACATTGCTCTGCTGGAAAATAAAGTTTACCGATAGGCCCCTGCGCAGATTTAAAAGGACCTCAGTGGCATTGCCCGAGCCCTCTCTACGTCCTCCAGAAAATAGCAGTGACAAATACTCTGCACGTAAACTAGGTGATTTAATAAAACTCCACCAAACTGTCATGATGTAGTTTTTTTTTACGATGGGCGATTAAGAAGAAAGGGCAAAGGAGCCGGGTTCTGCTCATACCGTGAGGTACTTGGATGTTGATGTTGGAGAGAGTTGGGATTCCGCTGCCGGTCCAGTTGAAAACCCCACTGGTTACCTTGCGACCAGACAACCATCACAAGGGCACAGCCATGTTTGCACAATGTGTGCTGATAATTTAAAACGCTTTCATAGCGACAATAATAATTTTCTGCCCTTTGACAGTACATTACTGGGTGAAGGCCTCCCCCCCCCCGTGCTGCTGTGTCAGTCATGGGGGTTTGTTTTGGCCAAAGATAACCATGCCGGCCCAAGTCACATACATTAGTGGCGAAACGTACATTACAGCGGCCACTTCACTGTCACCACCAATAATCTTTGAAACTCAATTCAGAGGGTATGTTTTTTTTTAAATCAAAAAGCCCTGCATATTCGCAATTTCCATGTTTTATGAAATCACCTCAAAATATTTGTAATTGTATATATAAAACAGAAAATTTAGACAAACCCTTAACTGCTATTTTAACTCAAGCTGGGGACAATCAGGTGACTGAGATAACGCATCGACTACCTGATTATTTTTATATTTTGATTTAAAGCTTTCGTGACTGCAGTAATTCATATTCTTAGTTTTTCGGTAAAGTCACGTTGAAGGGAAACAACAAAATAATAAAATATATATAAAACAATAAAAAAATCTCACGACGTTTCGACCATAACTCAAACGGTCATCTTCAGGTGTGTTGGTTTGCATAAATTTATTTTAAACGGCGCATTTATTTATTTACAAAAACGTTAGCGCCAGGCGCAACGATTTGGCAGTTATATTTAGGACTAGTCCCATCTATATTCTGAAAAGAGGAGGGGGGAGACGAAATTTTTTATAATGTATGCTGTCTGAAAGCCACTATAAGCGTGAACAATCAATTAAGACCTGAAATGGTTTTATCAAATCTTTTTGATAAACCATTTCAGGTCTTAATTGACCATTTTCAGGTCTTAATTGATTGTCCACGCTTACAGTGGCTTTTAGACAGCATACATTATAAAAATTTCGTCTCCCCCCTCCTCTTTTCAGAATATAGATGGACTAGTCCTAAATAAACTGCCAATCGTTGCGCGTGGCGCTAACGTTTTTATAAATAAATAAATGCGCCGTTTAAAAATACATTTATGCAAAACCAACACACTGAAGATGACCGTTTGAGTTATGGTCGAAACGTCGTGAGATTTTTTTATTGTTTTATATATATATTATTATTTTGTTGTTTCCCTTCAACGTGACTTTACCGAAAAAACTAAGAATATTTTATATTATTAACGACTATTTTTATATTTTTGACGACTATTTTTTTCGTAGTCCATTATACATGCTCCTTTCAAAATATCGGCCTCCCCCCAAATCCTGCCTCTCTGAAGGGAGGAATCCACCCGATAGCATGCCGTGGCCTATGATGTCACCAAGCCCTGCCCCTCACCTCCCGTCCAATGGCACGCAGGGGTGAAATGGGGCGAGGCATTTTTGTTCCAATTTTCTTTGTTCCACCCGATCAATGGAGAAATTGGACCGATAACCAATAGTGGGTAATCGATCACAGCAATTTAAAATTGGGATAGGCGAGGTCTAACTGACAACCACTGCACACTGCTGCAGGGCACGCACCACACCACGCGTCATGCACGGCTCGGGCTGAGACGGACAGCACATAACCACGTGGGAGGGTGTAACTCTCACCCACCACCCCCGCATTGCTTTGATGGTTACAATTCAATCGAAGAATGCATCGTATTTGTTTAAATGCCATCTTACAATGTTTGTTATAATTGTCCTTTTTTTCCCCAACTCATCTGTACAGTTTGGTTCACTGGATATATCGGGTTCTGAATATTTTTGCAGTGTGGCAGCATCACATGTAGTGGATTAACGCGCGCATACAGGGGCGATTGTAAAAGACGCGCGAGTTTATGTGGACAGTGGGGGGGTCGTGTAGGGCCGCGTGGGGATAAGGGCACGAGGCAGATAGCTCGTTAAGTTGTTATGGGATGCATGGCGGTGATTGGCCGGTTGTTGTCAGAGGCAAGGTGGCACCACATTGTAGGGAGATGGGGGACTGATAGGCAGGGGCCAGGGACGCCGCTTAATTCATTGATAGTTAACGAGCACGGGGGATATATTCGGGGACGTGAGAGCGGGGAGTAGAGTTGTCGCTGGGGACTGAAACAGAACGGGTGAGAAGAAAGAGAATTGGCAAGAGAGAGAGAAGACATGAGAGATAGAACAGGCTAGCAGTGGAACAGGGAACAAGGAGAGACAAGGAGAGACAGGGTGAGACGGAGAGAGACAGAGGCAAGGAGAGAGACGGAGAGAGACAGAGACGGGGAGAGACAAGGAGAGACGGAGACAGACAGTGAAAGCGAGATACAGACAGAGACAGACAACGAGAGACGGGGAGAGACAGTGAGAGACAACGAGAGACAGACAGAGACAGCGAGAGACGGGGAGAGACAGAGAGAGACAGCGAGAGACAGACAGAGACAGTGAGATAAGGGGAGAGACAGAGAGAGACAGCGAGAGACAGACAGAGATAGTGAGAGAAGGGGAGAGACAGAGAGAGACAGTGAGAGACGGGGAGAGACAGAGAGAGACGGGGAGAGACAGAGAGAGACAGCGAGAGACAGACAGAGATAGTGAGAGAAGGGGAGAGACAGAGAGAGACAGTGAGAGACGGGGAGAGACAGAGAGAGACGGGGAGAGACAGAGAGACACAGCGAGAGACGGGGAGAGGCAGAGAGACAGAGAGATACAGAGAGAGACGGGGAGAGACACTGAGAGACAGAGAGAGACAGAGAGTGACGGCAAGAGACGGGGAGAGACAGTGAGAGAAGGGGAGAGACAGAGAGAGACGGGGAGAGACAGAGAGAGACACAGCGAGAGACGGGGAGAGACAGAGAGAGAGACGGGGAGAGACAGAGATAGACAGCGAGAGACGGGGAGAGACAGAGAGAGACAGAGAGACACAGCAAGAGACGGGGAGAGACAGAGAGAGACAGAGAGACACAGCGAGAGACGGGGAGAGACAGAGAGAGACAGAGAGACACAGCAAGAGACGGAGAGAGACAGAGAGAGACAGCGAGAGACGGGGAGAGACAGAGAGACACAGCGAGAGACGGGGAGAGACAGAGAGAGACAGAGAGACACAGCAAGAGACGGAGAGAGACAGAGAGAGACAGCGAGAGACGGGGAGAGACAGAGAGACACAGCGAGAGACGGGGAGAGACAGGGAGAGACAGAGAGAGACAGCGAGAGACTGGGAGAGACAGAGAGACAGAGAGACACAGCAAGAGACGGAGAGAGACAGAGAGACACAGCGAGAGACGGGGAGAGACAGAGAGACACAGCGAGAGACGGGGAGAGACAGTGAGAGACAGAGAGACACAGCGAGAGACGGGGAGAGACAGAGACACAGCGAGAGACGGGGAGAGACAGAGATAGACAGCGAGAGACGGGGAGAGACAGAGAGACACAGCAAGAGACAGAGAGAGACAGCGAGAGACGGGGAGAGGGACAGAGAGACAGCGAGAGACAGAGAGGGACAGCGAGAGACGAGGAGAGACAGAGAGATACAGACAGAGACAGTGCGAGACAGAGAGAGACGGGGAGAGACAGAGAGACACAGCGAGAGACGGGGAGAGACAGAGAGATACAGAGAGACGGGGAGAGACAGAGAGACACAGCAAGAGACGGGGAGAGACAGAGAGACACAGCGAGAGACGGGGAGAGACAGAGAGAGACAGCGAGAGACGGGGAGAGACAGAGAGACACAGCGAGAGACAGTGAGAGACAGAGAGAGACACAGCAAGAGACGGGGAGAGACAGAGAGACACAGCGAGAGACGGGGAGAGACAGAGAGAGACACAGCAAGAGACGGGGAGAGACAGAGAGATACAGAGAGACGGAGAGAGACAGAGAGAGACAACGAGAGACAGTGAGAGACAGAGAGCCACAGCGAGAGACGGGGAGAGACAGTGAGAGACAGAGAGAGACAGCGAGAGACGGGGAGAGGGAGTGGAGCGAGTGGGGCAAGCGGAACGCGACGAGCGAGCAGAGAAACACGCTGAAGTTGTCACGGGTGTTGAATGTGAAGAGTTTTGTAATAAAAGTGGCGTCGGAGAAAAGAAGAAGTCGTCCGTGTGAAGCCGACCACTACACATATAAAACATTTTAATTTAACCAGGTAAAACCCACGGAGCTATATAGCTCTTTTTCAGAAGTGACCTGCCCAAAAATGATAGCTCAACAAAGTGGCTTATCACGTGAAAATTTATAGCAGCCAAATACTTAAGCGAGTGCTTTAAAATGTGGAGGGAAAAACCGGAATACCCGGAGAAAAATCCACACGAGGACGGGGAAAGAAAGACACACAAACTCCAAATATAAAGCAGGTGTCAGGGTTGGGATCAAACCCACGACCTCCTGCATGCAAGGCGAGGGAGTTAACATCTCGCAGCCACCCTTGCTGTCAATGTCCATGTAGTGTGCCGCACAGTCCACTGGATAATCCTCCAGTTACCTTCAAGGCCACGTCGTCTCCTTCACCGAGCGAGGGCTGCCGCCACGACTGCCCATCCAGAGAGCTCCAGTAACGCTTGCCTCCCGCCTTCCTGTTTATGGCCCTCAGCGGCTAAGGGCGGCAGGTGGCAGACGGAGGTTGCAGACGACACACAGCTGTCACAGACGAGCTCTCCACGTCACAGTCAATATAAACCTCTGATGACGACGGTAAGCACGTGCACGGAGGAGATTTATAATAATGAACTTGTCACAAATCAGCGTCGAGTTTTTATTCAAGAATAGTAGCGCCTATAGTGGTTGCAGGGGCAATGTGAAAACCATACACATTGATATGTAAGAACCAAAAATACGATTTGATGCAGGTATTGTGAGCTTGATAATTGATAATAATCAATCAATCATTGACTCAATCACTGGTGGAGCCAGTGTGGGGGGGGGGGGGGTGTGGTACGTGCCCCCCCCCCCCCCCCAATGATCCGATCGAAATCCCTAATTTCAATCGGATCATTGGGGTTTGTTAGTAAATCGGCATTTTGCGACACCCACTGCCACTGTGTAGCGTATTATTACGTGCCAGGGACTCTATGAGATAGGAGAATAGTCTGAGTGCATAATTGGCAATAAGTAATGGCAAAGCAGTTATAAGTGACTCATAGAATTGTGCGCAGTTGCGTCTACAGTACACGACTTCGCTGAAGGCATTCACCTTCAGCGAGCGCGATGCCGATCACACACGGTTCGAATTCGACCCTCGATCGATGACCAAAGGTTGAACACGAAATTTAACACTTCTGAAATTCGTGGTCCGCCAGGAAGTGTCTAACTGTGTTGTTTGCCTGACTGGATGTGCTTCACCTTATGTTTTTTCAGGTTTGTTGAATTCTCGTCTCTCATGTTCTTTAACACGTAGGCTTTCGCGACCAATATTATTCATAATAAAGGTTTTTGGGTTAGATCGCGTTTATTTATAAATGTGTCGTAACCCTCCACCACCCGACATGGCCAATCAGCAAAAAAAGTGTCACGTTGACAAAAGACAAATAATTCACTACTTCAGCCCACCGGTGTGTTGAAGAGTTAATTCACATTTACAGTTTGAGTACGACGTTTCGCTGGTAAATACATCCAGCATCATCGGGCAATTCGCCAGAATGGTAAAGCCCTCGCTTGCTCCCGGTTTTTATATAGAGCAGCAGGGTGACGTCATCACTTAACTCATATCAGGTGCAGTGATTAGAGGCGGAGGGGGGGGGGGTATTGTAATTATATAATCGATTAGTAATCAGTCATTGGTTATGATGAGTAATGAGTTGTAGATTAGTAATTCTTTAAATGTAATGTGTATTATTTAATAATACGCTTCCAGGCCGCACTAAGCCGGTAGCTGTCAGAGCGATTAAAGTTATTCTTGTTCCTCTCAATTTCAATGGATTCTCTAATTAGTCTTTGCCAGTAATAATTAGTTTTACACACCACTGCAACATTGTCAAAATCAATTGAGTGTCCTTGTTGACAAGCATGTTCTGCCACTGCCGACAGTTGTGTTTGAGATAATTTAATATTTCTCTGATGTTCTTTTAGTCTTACGCTGATGTTACGTCCCGTCTGTCCAATGTAGCAGCTGCCACATGAACAATTAATCCGATATACACCTTCTGTTGATAGTTTAGGTAATGCATCTTTAGTGCAAGATACTAGTTTTTGAATTTTGTGTACTGTACCAAATCTTACTGTAATGTTTTGCTTTTGCAGAACACGGGCTAATTTGTCAGTTACTCCTGAGATATATGGAATTTGTATTGTTTTAACAATCTGGTCGCTTTCAGTAGTATTGCTTTGCGATCGTGATTTGGCATTCAGTTCTCTGTTAATTTGAGCATTATTGTAGCCATTCTGTCGTAGTGCGTCTTTAACGTGTTTAATCTCTCTCACTAGACTCTCACCATCTGACACTGTTTTGGCCCGATGTACGAGCGTCTTGATAAGAGAGGATTTCTGAGCTGGATGATGATGTGATTCTGCATTCAGATAGGCATCAGTGTGCGTTTGCTTTCTGTAAACGCTGTGTGTTATTTTACCGTTTAGGCCATGTCCAAGCAAAATATCTAGGAATGGGAGTGTGTTATTCACCTCCATTTCCATGGTGAACTGGATGGCCGGGTTTTGTGCATTGAGATGATTTAGAAAATCATTAAGTGTATCTTTACCATGTGGCCAGACAACCAAAGTGTCATCCACAAACCTAAACCAAAAGGATGGTTTTAATGTGCTCGAGGCAAGTGCTCTTATTTCAAAGTTGTGAATGTGATTAAAGATATTAAACTTACTCCTGATGATATTCTGGTAAGTTTTGATGTGATTTCTCTATTCACTAAGGTTCCAGTGGACGAATCGCTTAAATTACTTGATACACTAGTAAAGAATACCGGTTTACAAAAAGATATTCCGAAACTTGCTGGCCATTGTTTAAATAACACTTACTTCTTATGGAGAGGGGATTTCTTTAAACAAAAGGAAGGAGCAGCAATGGGTTCTCCTTTATCCCCTGCTATAGCAAATTTGTACATGGAAAACTTTGAAATAAGAGCACTTGCCTCGAGCACATTAAAACCATCCTTTTGGTTTAGGTATGTGGATGACACTTTGGTTGTCTGGCCACATGGTAAAGATACACTTAATGATTTTCTAAATCATCTCAATGCACAAAACCCGGCCATCCAGTTCACCATGGAAATGGAGGTGAATAACACACTCCCATTCCTAGATATTTTGCTTGGACATGGCCTAAATGGTAAAATAACACACAGCGTTTACAGAAAGCAAACGCACACTGATGCCTATCTGAATGCAGAATCACATCATCATCCAGCTCAGAAATCCTCTCTTATCAAGACGCTCGTACATCGGGCCAAAACAGTGTCAGATGGTGAGAGTCTAGTGAGAGAGATTAAACACGTTAAAGACGCACTACGACAGAATGGCTACAATAATGCTCAAATTAACAGAGAACTGAATGCCAAATCACGATCGCAAAGCAATACTACTGAAAGCGACCAGATTGTTAAAACAATACAAATTCCATATATCTCAGGAGTAACTGACAAATTAGCCCGTGTTCTGCAAAAGCAAAACATTACAGTAAGATTTGGTACAGTACACAAAATTCAAAAACTAGTATCATGCACTAAAGATGCATTACCTAAACTATCAACAGAAGGTGTATATCGGATTAATTGTTCATGTGGCAGCTGCTACATTGGGCAGACGGGACGTAACATCAGCGTAAGACTAAAAGAACATCAGAGAAATATTAAATTATCTCAAACACAACTGTCGGCAGTGGCAGAACATGCTTGTCAACAAGGACACTCAATTGATTTTGACAATGTTGCAGTGGTGTGTAAAACTAATTATTACTGGCAAAGACTAATTAGAGAATCCATTGAAATTGAGAGGAACAAGAATAACTTTCGATTTAAAGCTTTCGTGACTGCAATGATTCATCTTCTTTGGTTCTTTCGGTAAAGTCACGTAGAATGAGAATAAAATAATAAATTGATATTTTATTCTCATTCTACGTGACTTTACCGAAAGAACCAAAGAAGAAGAATAACTTTAATCGCTCTGACAGCTACCGGCTTAGTGCGGCCTGGAAGCGTATTATTAAATAATACACATTACATTTAAAGAATTACTAATCTACAACTCATTACTAATCATAACCAATGACTGATTACTAATCGATTATATAATTACAATACCCCCCACCCCTCCGCCTCTAATCACTGCACCTGATATGAGTTAAGTGATGACGTCACCCTGCTGCTCTATATAAAAACCGGGAGCAAGCGAGGGCTTTACCATTCTGGCGAATTGCCCGATGATGCTGGATGTATTTACCAGCGAAACGTCGTACTCAAACTGTAAATGTGGATTAACTCTTCAACACACCGGTGGGCTGAAGTAGTGAATTATTTGTCTTTTGTCAACGTAACACTTTTTTTTTGCTGATTGGCCATGTCGGGTGGTGGAGGGTTACGACACATTTATAAATAAACGCGATCTAACCCAAAAACCTTTATTATGAATCTCATGTTCTTGTTGTATTTACCTCCGTGATTTGTTCTTGACACCTGATGAAGATCGCTTGCGTTGTGATCGAAACGTCGTGATTGTTTTTTTAAATATAATTTTATTGTATTTCTACTTACGTGACTTTACCGAAAAAAACCAATGAGTACCCTCATTTTGTTTGTAGAATGTACCATTCCAGGTGAAATGTGTTGGTAAGGCAGTGCCTTACCAAAGTTGGTACATCTGGATTCAGTCCTTGTTGGATCAAGTCTTCAATGATTGCAATGGTGTCAGGTACAGGTACATTGGTGAACAGAGAGACTACATCGAAACTGACAAGCAAATAATCTGGAGACAGTGATATATTCTTGATTAGATAAACCAAGTGAGCTGAGTTAAGTACAGCTGAGATGGACTTGCCCGTGAAAGGAAGCAGGGTCTCAGAAATAAATCGGGCCAGTTTGTAGGCGGGTGAGTTAATGGTGGAGACGATAGGACGGAGTGGAGTACCTCCTTTGTGGATTTTTGGAAGGCCATATAATCTGGGTGGTCTACCAGCCGAAGGTTTTAGGGAGCTCTGCTTGGTCTGATCGATTAGAGAAGTCGATTTAGTGATAATATTGTTGTTTTTGTAGCTAGGCGGTTGGTGGGATTTCTGTTGATTTTGATATAGCTGCCATCATTAAGAAGGTCCTGAATTCTGTTGTTGTAAGTGGTTTTATCAATGATGACAGTGGCATTGCCCTTGTCAGCTGAGAGGATGACAATGCCATCTCTGTTTTTTTTTATTTAGAGAGTTCAAAACGCTCGTCCTTGCTGATGTTGCTAATGGGTTTCTTAGCGTTTTTGAGGATAGCAGCAATTTCAGATCTAGCAACGTCTGCCTGGATGTGTCCCAAGCATTTGAGGGCTACGTCGACCTGGGCAATTACATCATCCACTGGGATGTGTTTAGGGGTGACTGCGAAATTCAACCCTTTGGCTAGTACCAATTTTAGGCCATCGGAAATTGGGATGTTACTCTGATTGATGACAATCTTGTTAACGTGTTACTATGATTGATGACAATCTTGTTAACATGTTACTATGATTGATGACAATCTTGTTAACATGTTACTATGATTGATGACAATCTTGTTAACATGTTACTATGATTGATGACAATCTTGTTAACATGTTACTATGAATGATGACAATCTTGTTAACATGTTACTATGATTGATGACAATCTTGTTAACATGGTACTATGATTGATGACAATCTTGTTAAAATGTTACTATGATTGATGACAATCTTGTTAACATGTTACTATGATTGATGACAATCTTGTTAACATGTTACTATGATTGATGACAATCTTGTTAACATGTTACTATGATTGATGACAATCTTGTTAACGTCTAACTTGTTAACATGTGGCTCTGGCTTCATTTTTGACAGGAGGTTTGAATTTAGCGATCAAGTTAACTTTACATTTGGTTGACATTGAAGTAGCAGAATAACTGTTATGTTATCTACATGGTCCCAATCAGAAGTGGACATCTTATCTGTTAATTTTAAGTGTGATTGTAAGAGAGTCTTGTCTAAATGATCAAGTTCAAATCAGAGCAATATTATTCTCTCTGAGATTAGCGATAGGGTAGCTTTGAACAAGATTCGTTTAGCATTAAGAGAAGTGACAGCAGCAGATGTGAGTGTAAATGCGACTGGTATTCCCTTGTTATCATGGCATCTCTTGAGAAAGGTTAGAGACTCGATCAGGTAAGCCTTTTTGTCTCGCAGTCTGTTAAAAGCTCTAACGGATGTGTGGAAACCCTCCCCGTAGAGGCGGTTCAATCTTGATTTGAAGCTTTCGTGACTGCAGGAATCAATACGCTTTGGTTCTTTCGGTAAAGTCACGTGCGCCCGAAACGTCGTGATTTATTTAATTTTATACCTACGTGACTTTACCGAAAGAACCAAGGAGCATGGATTCCTGCAATCACGAAAGCTTCACATCAAGATTAGTGTCGTGTATATTAGTGTTGTGTATAGTAGTGTAGAGTAGAACTCTTCTTAACAACCACCCCTCTTAACGACTAATCACTTTACAGTTAATATTAATTCATGCATTTATTAACCATGTTTCTTTAATATGATGTGTTTATGTATTAATATCCATTGTTTAAATATTATAAAGTATGTTTTTGGGTGAAAAATGGGTAACTTTCGGTGCTATCGGAACGAATTAAGCCTTTAACGTGCATTTTCTATACTCGCGTAATGACCAAATCACTTAACGACCGGTTTCGTGGAACTAATTACCGTCGTTGAGAGGTGGGGTTCTACTATATCTGACCAGTGATTATTTGTGGGTAGAGGATATAAAGGTCTTCATATTAACAACTGAAAGTACTTGGTGGGATGGATGCCAGTGGAGAGGGGATTTCAGATCAGAGCCGTGGTCAAGCAGAGAAAAAAAATCTCCAACACACAACCGGTTTAGTACTGAACTAGTAACTAATTTTCGATTTAAAGCTTTCGTGACTGCAAGGATTCATCTTCTTTGGTTCTTTCGGTAAAGTCACGTAGAATGAGAATAAAATAATAAATTGATAAAATAAAATAACACAATAATATTCTCACGACGTTTCGGCCACAACACAAGCGGCCTTCATCAGGTGAAGGGACGAGACTGTCTGGAGGACAGCGCTGAAGTGCTCACCCTTACTGCATTCACAGACGTCTCTTCGAAGCCAGAACCCAGAGACACGGCCGTACCACTCTGAACATCAATTCCACGACAGCGCTCACACCCTCACCATGTCCTCCTTGTTGCTTTCTGGGGGCGCATCCCATGCCGCCCGCGATCCCTCCTCACGGATTTCATCGCTCCTTAGGAACTCTTTCAGCTTCTGCACACTGCACGGTCCGACCACACACACTCAGTTTAACATACACAGCCACAGGCAGAGATCTTCCGTGGAGCCTTGCTTACATCCTGCTGGGCAAGTGCCGCTCGCAAGCACCAATAGCATCGCGTTGTTGACATTGGCCTCGGTGCAAGAAATGAAATAAGGCCCCCTCTCCAATTTACTCCCTCTCTACAAACCTGACGCCTGCACCTATCTGGCCTGTGGGCCTGGTGCAGGCGCACTGCCTGCACACTCAATAGCTACACGACTGGCAAGCACCTTATAAGAGTCGGCACACCGAACGAGAGGGATGGTGTGGGCAGGAGCATGCCCGGTCACCTCTGTTTCTGCAGTGTTGCGGTGCTGAGTTTTACCCACCACACCACTAACCTTAACAGACTATTGGGGCAAGCATGGTTAGTGAGCAACAAATGAAGGCCAGCAAGGCACACGAGGGGGTGGATGGCCAACACCACGCCCAGCCACCTTTGTCACTCCAGTGCTGATGTTTTATACACATCGCACCAGGTACACATTAAAGACTGAGTCAACCGAGAGAAGGCACAGGACCGGTTCAAATATTTACTACTGTATTTGTGTCGCAGTAGTCCACGAACTATTGCGCCACCGCTTCCCGTACACAAACACACTCACACAGAGGAAGACTCCACAGATGTCAATGCACATGCCGGTTGTCGTCAGGCCAGTACTACGCCCCACCATCTTTGTCCCCTTTGTCTGCTCAGCAACAATTCGCACAAGGAGCTCATTTTAGGCACAAAAACACCCCTCGGTAGTACAACCAATCCTTATCATCACAATCTTTAGTCATCTGTTGTGCAACACTCTATTACTTTGTGCCACCGCTGACGTCCTTGAGAACACATGATGCAGTGAAGGTCAAATTACAGCGCTTTATCAATCCACTGCTGGATGAAGGACTCCCCACACCATCTCGGTCAAGGGGGCTCTTTGACCCTACTTTACCACACTGGTCATTGCGGCTTAGTTATAATTACTCCAGTTTATGTATCATCACCTGGCGCCGATGATGGCAGCCTCGGCCGGTTTGTGCGCCCTGTTTTGTCCGGTTTGTCTTGTTATGCTTGATCACTTGTGCCGGTGAGAGAGGCCTGCTGTTCAGCACACCCGTGCTGGTGAGAGGGGCCTGCTGTTCAGCACACCCGTGCTGGTGAGAGGGGCCTACTGTTCACCACACCCGTGCTGGTGAGAGAGGCCTGCTGTTCAGCACACCTGTGCTGGTGAGAGAGGCCTGCTGTTCAGCACACCTGTGCTGGTGAGAGGGGCCTGCTGTTCAGCACACCTGTGCTGGTGAGAGGTGCCTGCTGTTCAGCATACCCGTGCTGGTGAGAGGGGCCTGCTGTTCAGCACAAATGTGTTGGTGAGAGGGGCCTGCTGTTCAGCACACCCGTGCTGGTGAGAGGGGCCTGCTGTTCAGCACAAACGTGTTCGTGAGAGGGGCCTGCTGTTCAGCACACCTGTGCTGGTGAGAGGGGCCTACTGTTCATGAAACCAGTGCTGTTGAGAGAGGCCTGCTGTTCAGCACACCAGTGCTAGTGAGAGAGGCCTGCTGTTCAGCACACCTGTGCTGGTGAGAGGGGCCTGCTGTTCAGCACACCCGTGCTGGTGAGAAGATGGCGCTGATGATGCTAGCCTCAGCCGGTCGGTGCGCCCTGTTTTGTCTTGTTTTGTCTTGTTTTGTCGGTTAATTCAGTGTTTTGCCAAGCTTTTCGGAGTTCCCTAACAAGAGACGAACTGTTAAACATCAGGGAAACAACTCCTTTGGATTTATTTCCCACTTTTCTGCTTCCAGCGGCAGAATTAGAGGGTATTCTAGTCAAAGCCGTGCTAGGCTTTGCTCAAGCAGCGAAACGCTGCCCAAGGGGTAAATGGTCAGGGGCTCTAGTACGGTTACGCAGACACGGGATCCAAACAGTGCTTCCGAGCTTTTTCCTCTCCAACGTTTTTTCACTGTGCAACAAAATGGACGAACTTCAGCTACTGATGGTCAAAAACAGAGACTTTCTTTCATCTTCTGTTTTGTGCTTCACGGAGACATGGCTGTGTGATTTGATTCCGGACACTGCGCTACAACTGGCAGGATTCCATTTTGTAAGATCAGATCGTGACATAGCACTCTCCGGCAAGACGAAAGGCGGTGGTATTTGTTTTTACATTAACAGTGGCTGGTCTGTAGATGTCACAGTGATTCTGCAACATTGTTCTCCGCTCCTTGAATCATTTTTTATAAACTGTAAACCTTTCTACTCGCCTCGCGAGTTCGCGTCGCTCATTTTGGTCAGAGTTTACTTGCAGCCGGATCCTCAGGTTAAAGAGGCCCAATGCATGCTCGCCGACCAGATTCTAAGTGTGGAGCGAGCAAATCCAGATTCGCTGGTTCGTACTTGGCGACTTTAACAAAGGTAATCTCAGCCACGAACTCCCCAAATACATACAATTCATTAAATGCCCTACAAGAGAAGGGAACACTCTGGATCACTGCTACACTACAGTCAGTAGAGCCTACCATGCCGTCCCCCGAGCAGCACTGGGACACTCTGACCATGTCATGGTCCACCTGATTCCTGCATACAGGTAGAAACTAAAGCTCTGTAAACCTGCTGTGAGGACATCTAAACAGTGGACCAGTGAGGCTGTGGAGTATTTGCGGGCGTGCTTGGACTGTACTGACTAGGATATGTTCACAACTGCTACCAATAGTCTGGATGAACTCACAGAGGCTGTGACGTCGTACATCAGCTTCTGTGAGGACTGCTGTATTCCAACACATACCAGGGTGAACTTCAACAACAACCAGCCCTGGTTCTCAGCAAAGCTCAGAAGGTTGAGGTTGGAGAAGGAGAAAGCGTTTAGGAGTGAGGATAGAGACAGATTCAAGGAGTCGAAGAACAGGTTTAGCAAGGTGGTGAGAGAGGCTAAACGACTGTACTCAGAGAGACTAAACACCAGTTCTCTGCTAACGATTCTGCTTCTGTCTGGAGAGGGCTCAGGCAGATCACCAACTACAAGCCCAGAGCCCCCCACACCACTAACGACTCCTGCCTGGCCAACGACCTGAACGAGTTCTACTGCAGATTTGAAAGACAATTGGACTGTCCTGAACTACCCCTTCCCACCCAAGAGGCCTCATCCCCCACCCCTACTACAGAGACAACTCTCTCCTTTCAGGAGGGAGAAGTTAATAGACTTTTTAAGAGGCAGAACCCACGCAAAGCAGCTGGGCTGGACTCTGTCTCTCCAGCCAACCTCAGGCACTGCGCTGACCAGCTGTCTCCGGTGTTCACCAACATCTTTAACACCTCCCTGGAGACATGCCATGTACCAGCCTGTCTCAAGTCCTCCACCATCATCCCTGTGCCCAAAAAGCTAAGGTCAACAGGACTAAATTATTATAGACTGGTCGCCCTTACCTCTGTGGTAATGAAGTCTTTTGAGCGCCTGGTCCTGGCACACCTCAAAGCCATCACAGACCCTCCCCTGGACCCCCTTCAGTTTGCCTACAGAGCCAACAGGTCTGTGGATGACGCAGTTAACATGGCCCTCCACTTCACCCTACAGCATCTGGACTCCCCAGCATCCTACACCAGGATCCTGTTTGTGGACTTCAGCTCTGCCTTCAACACCATCATCCCTGCCCTGCTTCAGGACAAGCTCTTCCAGCTGAACGTGCCCAACTCCACCTGCAGGTGGATCACAGACTTCCTGTCTGACAGGAAGCAGTGCGTTAAGCTGGGAACACAAGTCTCTGACTCCAGGTCCATCAGCACCAGAACGCCTCAGGGCTGCGTCCTTTCCCCACCGCTCTTCTCCCTGTACACCAACAGCTGCACCTCCAAGCATCTGTCCGTCAAACTCTTGAAGTTTGCGGACAACACCACCCTCATTGGGCTGACCTCTGGTGGGGATGAGTCTGACTATAGGTGGGAAGCTGACAACCTGGTGTACTAGTGTAGCCAGAACAACTTAGAGCTAAATGCTCTAAATACAGTTGAGATGGTTGTGGACTTCAGGAAGAATATAGCCCCACTCACCCCCATCACCCTGTGCGACTCCCCAGTCAAAACTGTGGAGTCCTTCCGCTTCTTGGGAACTATTCTCTCCCGGGACCTCAAGTGGGAACTGAACATCAGCTCCCTCACCAAGAGAGCTCAACAGAGGATGTACTTCCTATGGCAGCTGAAGAAATTCAACCTGCCAAAGACAATGATGGTGCATTTCTATACAGCAATCATTGAATCCATCCTCACCTCCTCCATAACCGTCTGGTACGCTGCTGCCACTGCCAAGGACAAGAGCAGACTGCAGCGTATCATCCACACTGCTGAGAAGGTGATTGCCTGCAATCTACCAACCCTCGAGGACCTGCACACCTCGAGGACCATGAGGCGAGCGAGGAAGATTGTGCCGATTCATCCACCCTGGACACTCTCTGTTTCAGCTACTCCCCTCCGGCAGAAGGCTGCGGTCCATCAGGACCAAAACCTCATTCCACAAAAACAGTTTCTGCTGGCCTCTTAAACAAAGCCAAGGGCTTACACTGACTTTAACATTTCATCTACAAAATGACACCTTGCCATATTTACACTATGTTACCCTATTTGTATTTTTTGTATTTTTAGATTGTATCTTATAGCTACTTTCTATTAAATATTTATTCTAAATTTTACATACTTTAGCCCGTTAGTGTTAGTTAGACTTTGTACCTTTAGTATAGTTAGACTTGTATACCACTTATTTAAGATTTAAGATTGCTACAGTATATGTTGAATGTATGCACCTTCCTGCCAAAGTAAATTCCTTGTCGGTGCGAACTTTCATGGCGAATAAAACCCCTATCTGATTCTGATTCATAGTGCAATGCGCTAGCCACTGCGCCACCACAAACCCTCTGCTACAATTTACGTTCCCTGACACTATACGTAGCAAGCAAAACAGCCTGGGAATAGGCTTTACAGCTCACAATAT